GGGAAACTTTTTCAACTCCATCCCTTTAATTCCTTAGTGGTGCTGAGCTTACGATCCTGGTTGCCTGCTATCCTAGTGGAGCAGCAGCGCTCAGCCCGGACACAACAGAAACATCATGCTAGAAAACTCTTTTTCCTCCTTTCCTTCTCCACCAGGACTGACACGATCAAAATGTATATTTGTAATGCAAATATAAAACGAAGTGAAGGGGCTGGGGATTTAGCTCAGCGGCAAAAGTGCCTGCCTGGCAAGCGCAAGGTCGTGAGTTCGGTTCCCGGTACCAGAGAAAAACCAAAAAAAAACCCAAACAAACAAACAAACAAATAAAACGAAGTGAATGACAGCACTGGGTTACTTGAACATCAGCGACTAACAATTGTTGAGTGCTCAAGACGCTCTGGAGTCTGTCTCAAGGACAACCTATTTTCATTCTTGCCGTAATGGGTACCAAGTGCCAGCTACCATCCAAATGCTATCGTCTCCGTTCACAGGTGTAGAGGCAGAGGTATAGAGACGTTAAGAAAGTTGCCTGGGATAAGGAGTAGACTCGCCCGACACACAAGCCCTGGTGTCTCTATGTGTAACCAGCATGTCTGACAACCCCTTAAGCACCCGGGAGAGGACTCTGAATATTCCTATCACACAGGGCGGGGAAAACTAGCTGGCTTGCTTTATCACTTGCAAGCAAGGGCAAGCATATCTCTTGGGATAACCTTAAACACGTTTTGGATTAGATAAATGACAATTGGCAACCTGTGTGTCTATAGCATTTTTTGACAAAAACAGTTAGTCTCATATTGTCAGAGGTGGGTAAGCAGGTTGGGACTCTCCAGCAGAGGCCTCTGGTAGAAAATAATCCGGGATGCAGAGCCAGGGGCTGTAGCTGCTACCACCCACCCCAAGACCCTGGATTTCTCTGCTTCACACCTTGGGGCTGTAGACGAAGAACAAGGAATGCATGTGGACTGCTATCTGATGGTCGAATGGGTTGTTTGGGCTAGAATGAGATCTGGCTTTCAGCCCCTGGGTGTGGTTTTTATGTAGGGGAAAGAAACTCCCAATCTGCTAGATATCTGGTATGAGTTTATGTTCTCTATTTTTTTTTTTTTTTTTTTTTTTTTTTTTAGACAGGGTCTCGCTATACAGTTCAACCTAGCCTTGAGCTCACTTTGTAGCCCAGGCTAGTCTCGAACTTGCAACGATCCTCCTGCCTCAGCCTCCTGAGTGCTAGGATTACAGGCGTGTGCCACCACGCCCCACTGAGTTTATGTTCTCTAAAATCAAAGAATGAATTTTAGGAACAATGGAGGTTAAGACCAGAATATATTTATTGGGGGGGAGGAAAAAGCTTTTGTCTGAGAGAGACAGAAGGGGGTCTCGAATGGGTTGCTAAGGACCCTGCCTTTTCTAGGGATTTTTATAGAGCAAATCCACAACATGGGGTGAGTCCAAGGTGGGAAAAATGGAAAATTGCAAGGTGGGCATGAGGTGGGGTAAAACTATGGTCAACCAGTAAGGTTACGGGTATAATTGCTCAGGTAAAATTGATTAAATCGGGATCAAATGGGGAAACGAGTCACTAGCAAGCCAGCATGAATACAGAACAGGGGCTTTTCCTGTAGGGTTGGGTTAGTGGCTCTTCCTGGCTTTCTCAAGGTGATGGATACCTACTTAGAATATCAGTTTCTGATATTTGTCCTTGGGAAGTATGTGGGTGCATTTGTTTTATCTTTTGTCTTGAAATCTGGCCCTCAGCTGGAGGTGCTTGTCTCTCCCACAGCTGCAAGGTATCTCATCTTCTGCCCTCAAAGGAGGGAGCGCTCCTTTGAGGGCCTAGCCCTATCTAACTACCTATAATATTTTATCTAAGTTAACCTCCTGTAACAGTTTTGTTTTGTTTTTGTCTTTTTGAGATAGGGTTTCACGATGCAGTTCAGGCTGGTCTCGAGCTCAAACTCGAACCGGTCATCCTGCCTCAGGCTCCTGAATGCTGGTAGTAGAGGCGTGTGCCACCAGGCCCAGCCGGTCCCTAGGTTTTGATTAGTGGAGTTCTGCAGCTGACAGCTCATTTGTTCTCTGCCTCTCAATTAAGAAACCACCACAAATAGGCCCTCCAGTGTTTTTAGAGTTCCAGGACGGAGGGAGGGAGCACCTGGCTTTCTCAAGGTGATGGATATCACCTTGATATCCATCTAGGAGCTGCCCTTGCTGCCTTGCAGCTTGGCACACTTTCTGCCTGCAAAGCTGCGGTTAATCAGCCTGGAGCCTTATTCTCCTGCTGATCTGGAACCTCTTCCCTGGAGGCCTCTGGACAGGAAGAGCTGCACAGGCCCAGCCAGGGGAATATCCCCGCAGGCGATCTTGAATGAGCCTCTGAGACTCTCAGAGCCTCTCTATGTGCAGATGTGAAATCACGATCGAAAGCCTTCTCTACTGATTTGAGGGTGATTGTGAGGGTTTACAGGGATAAAGGAGAGAGGCTGCTTTGGAAACTGTAAAGCAGGGGGTTGTGCTGACTCATCAAGAGACCCTATTTAGAGCTGAGGGTGGAACTGGTCAGTAGAGCACTTGCCAGACACCCAGGGGGCTCTGGATTCCATCCCCAGCACAGCAAAATGTTTGAAAAGGGGCCTCGTTTATTTCAGCCCAGCCGTTTATTTTTTTCTTTTCCACTGATCACAGGTCCAGCTCCTGGGTCATTTAACAATAGCGACCATCCCTGGGCCCCTCTGGAGAGCTTCAGGGTGCTTGGGATTGGGAGGGGAACTCAAGAGAAAGGAAAGACAGGGTCTGTTCATCATCTTGCAGCCCTGAGAGGGAGGTAGAAAGACAGAGTGGCTAGGGCATGTAGTCTCCAGTAGAAAATTTTCTGTGATCTTTATTCTTATTTAATTTTTATCACCACATATTTGCAGTGCATACTGATTATATTTATGTAATACATCTTCATTCTTTTTGTTGTTTTTGATCTTTTTGAGACAGGGTCTCACTATGCAGTTCGGGCTGGCCTTGAGTTCACGTTGTAGCCCAGGCTGGTCTCGAACTTGCAGCGATCCTCCTGCCTCCGCCTCTCCAGTGCTGGGTTTACAGGTGTGCGCCACCATGCCCGGCCCTTACATCGTCATTGTTTTTTTCATCTTCTTCCCCTCTCCTCTTTCTGCATTGTGATCTTTATACTTTTTTTTTTTTTTTTTTTTTTTTTTTTTTTTTTTTAATTTTTATTGGTTTTTCTCCGGTATCGGGAACCGAACTCCACGACCTTGCGTTTGCTAGGCAGGCGCTTTGCCGCTGAGCTAAATCCCCAGCCCCGTGATCTTTATTCTTAACACAGAAAGTGGACTCACCTGTGCAACAGCGACCTGAGTATGAATCAGCCCAGCCGTCCAGGAACTCCTCAGGCTCCTCCCAGGCACTACTCCCCTGAGGAACCTCCCTCCTGACTTCTAGCACCATCCCTTGATTTTGCTTACTTCCAACGAGGGTGGATCCTTCCGCGCCTGCTTTTTCCTCTACCAAATGTGTGGGTTTCATCCTTGGTGTAAGGGGCTGTGGCGTGTTCCCTCTCATTGCTGCAGACAGAATGCGACTAGGTAACGATTTCCTTGTTCTGATAAGGACCTTGGGGTGATCCAGTTTGGGGTGTGCTGTGAATGTTCCAGTGCATGTCTCTAGGATATAGCACTGAGTGAGGAAGGATGGGATCATAAGGTACATGTCTGTGTGGCTTGCGTAGATGCCAGCAGGCAGGACTTACTGAAGCTGTGAGGAAGAACTTCTGGACGCTATAGGTTATAGTCATCTGGCTCAGACTTTCAGAAGAGAAGGGTTTGGCGTGGTTGAGCAACCGGGACTTTGACTCCTTCCTGTCCAGACTTAGTCCCCTTATTTAGTCTGAGGTTCCCAGACTGACTGTACTTCCCAGATGTGTTTCAGCTACCTGGGGGGATGAGTTAGGGCACTTAGGAGTCAGCTGTCCCCTAGAGCCAAAGCCCTCTGTGTCATCTGTACTATGTAGAAGGGTTGCTGAGAATGACTTCATTTGTTTTTGAAAAAGCTTTGGTTTTTTAGCTTTAGGTTGAAAATCTACTGCTGGGAGATTCTATTCTTGGGCAAGGGGATGGGTGTAGGAAAAGTTAAGCATTGTTCAGCCCAGGAGCAGAGCTGAGGCTCCGTGACCTTTAGAAAATCTTATAAGCCAGTTATGGTGGCACCTACCAGTTATCCCAGAACTCTGGGAAGCTGAGATAGGAGGATTGAAAGTTTCAGCCTGGGGAGAGGTGGGGCAGTTTAGCAACTTAGTGAGACCCTGCCTCAAAATAAATTGTGAAAAGAGCTGGGAATGTATATAGCTCAGTATAAAAGCCCAAGGCTCCATCCCCAGTATTAAAAAAAAGGGCTTATAGTATGGTTTGTGATGTGGAGATCTCGTACCATTCTCTAAAATACAGTTCTCTATGGAAGCTTGCAGGGTATGGGTAGGGCTTTGAGGTGGAGTTTCAACCCAAGTCTTGGGGACTCCCGGGAGGGTTTTGCCCACCTACTTCTGGCTTGGATGTGTGTGTGTGTGTGTGTGTGTGTGTGTGTGTGTGTGTGTGTGTTTAAGTGTCTTCATTCCCGGAAGCTGTCCTTTGAAGTTGTTGGGATTTCACATGGTTCCCATTTTTCCCCAGGAGTGGGTGACATGGGTGGCCTGTGTGTCCCTCCCCAGAGTGGTGGCCTTTCCTCCTGTGACACCTGGCCAGGTTTGGTCCCATAATTTCATGAGGCCATACTTTGGTGAGGGAGGCCAGCCCAGCGACCGAGGCAGTGGCGGCGGTGGCGGTAGCCGTGGCCGTAGTGGGCCTGGAGGGGACAAGTCTGCCTCGGCTTCTAGCTGTGAGTCAACAGACCTGATAAACAGCCCATTTCCCGGGGCCACAGAAACAAAGCCCACAATGTCTGGGCTTCAAGGGATCTGTCTGCCCGCCTCTTCCTGAAGCAGCTGTTTATTCTTTTGACAGGAGCTGGACTTGGACAGAGCACCTTCTCTGCCTCTAAGCCCTGCCTCCTTCTCCAGGACAGAGTTCAGGCATTTTGCATTTTGCTCTGGAGGGAAAGAAGCAGATGATGAGGTATGTGAAATGTTAAAATGATTCTCTTCTGCTGAGCTTGGGGTCACTGAGAACCATGAGCAGGGCGCTGCACGAGCCCACCTGGGGGGATCCTCGCTCCCCAACAATCCCGGCTTGGTCCCTCTGTAGTTCTGGAAGGAGACAAAGTCCTTCTCTTGGGGCAGTGTTTCTGGAACCAAGAGCTGGTGGGGTGCTAGCTTAGGGACTTTCGCTGTAAGTCCTACTTTATTTTACTTCCCTTGGCAGGAACTCATAGGATGATGGCCTGGGGTTTTCTCTGCAGGAGACTTCCCCTGTGAATCTCAGGGCCCCAGGGGGCCAGTGTTGTGGGTGAATGCGGAGCCCTCTCAGGACAATGCAGCATCTTGCTTTGGTTCTGTCTGGAAAAATCCTAACACAGGAATTTTTGGGCCGGGCTACAGCTGGATCAGGCTTTCAGTGTCCTAAAGAGGATTCAAGAAAAGTTGCTACAAGATATAACGCAGAGAACAGGTTGTGCTGTTTGTGATGGCTGGAGTGACAGTGAGCCATGTATTTAGTCTGGGCCTGTCTTATTTTCCTGTGTCTGTGTTTACTCTGGCTCTTATAATGAAAAGCATAACTGGAAACAGACTGCATTGCACTTTCCCCCCATGAATTATACCATGTTTTTTTCTTTTTTTTCTTTCTTTCTTTCTTTTTTTTTTTTTTGTCTTTTTGAGACAGGGTCTCACTATGCAGTTCAGGCTGACCTTGAGCTCACTTTGTAGCCCAGGCTGGTCTTGAACTCACAACTATCCTCCTGCCTCAGCCTCCTGAGTGCTGGGATTACAGGCATGCACCACCATTCCCGGTTGTACCATGCTTTTTCTGAAGGGGAGTATTTCCCTGCCTCAAAGTTTAGAGAGAAGTTTTAGCATAATAAGACACTGCCTTTGCTTAGCCCCATGACAATCCCAATGCTGAGAGTTGGAGGCAGAGGGTCTGCTCTAAAATCTGCTGCTTCTGAGTGCACCCAGCCATCTCTGGCCAGCTACTCTTTACTAAAGCTCCGCCCTCTCAGGCAAAGGGACAAGTAAATAAGCCAGAGAGAGGGCAACTCACACCAGGCACACGGGAGGCTCTTGGAGATGGCAGAAGTGCTGAGCTAGTCAGGTCCCCACCAGGTCCAAGGGGAAGCTGACCCCACAGGGGTCTGGCAGATGTTTGGCTAGCACTGGGCCAGTCACTGCATGGTAGTCATGAGAGGGAAAAAGAAAATGAACCAAGGCGATGCGAATCGTGAGGGTGTGGATCAGCCTTCCCGTTCATCAGGGCACCAGAGTGGTTCAAAGAGGGTATTGGCAGCTGATTTCCTGGGTCTCAATCCCAGCCCCACCTTTTCACACTGTGTGACCTCGGATGTGGTGGTTAGGGCGGACCTTGAATAGGGTGGCTTCAGCATCCACCCGGGAGATTGGTGGAGTGCACCTGGGATGATGTCCTGGAGGCATCACTTGGGGTGCCTTCTCTGGTCCTTTGCGTCTTCCTCTCTGGTGCTGTTCCCCTAATCTCCTTCCCACTTGCCATGAACTGAACAGGTTTGCTTTACCACAACATTCTACCATGATACTTCTGCCTTGGAGCCAGCTGACCAGGGACTGAATTCCCTCAAACTATAAGTCAAATTAACCCTCTCCTCTGTGAGTTGTGAGTGTTGGGTATTGTGTCCCAGTGATGGAAAAGCTAAATAATACCCTGGATAAGTTAATTAACCTCTCTGAATCTGTTTTCCTATCTACAGAATGGGATTCATAGTAGAATATCTCCACAGAGTTGTTTAACTTGGCTTAACTGAAAGACCACTGGGAATGGACTTAGCCTGGGGCCTGGCCTGACTCAGCTCCATGGGAAAGGATCTAGGCATTCTAGGACTTGAAGCTCCTTCAGTTTGGGAGGCCCTCTCTAAGAAGGAATGCAAAGTCGCAAATACAGTATCAGGTATGGACATGAGCATTTCAACTATGAGTAGAGCTATCACAACAAGTAACAAACTGACTAATCCTCCAAATATGACAAAACCTAGAAAACTGCATAGTAATAAAATGATGGAGGCCAGGTGTAGTGGTGCTCAACTGTAATCCCAGCTCTCTGAAGGCTGAGGCAGGAGGATCACAACAAGTTTGAGGCCAGCCTGGGCTACATAGTGAACCGAGGACCAACCTGAACCATAGCAAGACCCTGACTCAAAAACCAACCAAACAAACAAACAAAAAAAATAAAATGATGGAAAATTAATACAGAAATGATTACTATTACCAATGCATTGCCTGATGGACCTGTCGTGCTTGGCTGCATTCTCTGACTCATTATCTTGACAGGGATTTTCTAGGATCATTTTTAATGAAGGAAACAAAGCCAGATAAATCAGTTTTGCTTCCAGCCTGGTTGATCCGTGGTTGGTTATTTCTTATTCCTAAAAGCTTCTTTTGGCTTCACAAACCTGTGATTGGTGAGACGCCATCTGTAACACTTCGCACACTCTCTTGCTGGGACCCCTAGAGAGCTCAGCCCTTTGATCTTCACTAGGCACAGTGGGCCCTGCGGGCTGGATGGGGGCAGGCGTGAGGTGGCTGTGAGGCCCCTGCACAGGGAGCAGGCAGCCGGTGGTTCGGCTCCTTGTCCTTGGAGTTCCAAGGGGAGGGGCCTGGGTGCTTAAGAAGGTCCTGAGACAGGTTGCTCCTGGGACCCAGGTGGGTGTACAGGTGGGCTCAGCTCCTTACCTCCGCCTGCAGCCCCAGGATGGCCGCCAGAGCTGGGCAGTGGTTCTCCCGGGCACACAGCACTCTGCCTCTGGGAAGCGCTTGGGCGTCTCCCACTGCTGCCCTCCTAGGAAGCAGGCCCAGACGTAGGAGGGGACTCACATTCCTCAGCTCCTAGCAAGTTGACCTCTGCACTCCCTGCTCGTAGCTTGGCAAAGCCTGTCTTTAGGTCACTGCTTCAAGGAATCCACCACAGCAAGATAAGCTCCATGAGGCTAAGTGCCCCGCCTTTCTGAAAAGTGAGGTTTATAGCCCTGTGGTTCACTTCTCCTTCAGGTCCTGGGTTATCAGAGAAGCCTGTGGGGAATATTTTACAGATAAGGAGATAGTGACTTCTGTGCCTGCAGTGTAGAAGGGCGGCTCCTGCAAGCACAGGCCTTACCCTCTTCTCCTACCCAGCCGCTCCTGCAAGCACAGGCCTTACCCTCTTCTCCTACCCAGCGCTGGCAGATCTGGGGAGTGACCGGGCTGCTTCGGCATCACCCTGTCCCGAGGCAGAGCAAGGCTGACTTGCTCTCAAGTGCGGTAGAGGTGTCGGCTCCCCTTAACTGCCTCATAAGGTGCCACCGTGGAGGCCAAGATTCCTCTCCCAGGAGACTTCACAGCTCCACCTTCAGGACTTGAACCTGTCCCCTTAAAAAGCATCATCATTATTACAGCTGCCGTTTGTGGAGCTTTTACTGACTTCTGGTCACAATGGGATTCTTGGTACCGGGAGTCGAACTTAGGACCTTGCGCATGCCAGGCAGGCACTTGTGCCACTGAGCTATATCCCCGGCCCCACAATGGGATTCACAGACATGGTCTTCATCTGTCCTTTGCCGAACCCTATGAGGAGGGTGTGAGCCCCTCCCTTTTTACCTTAGTGGTTTCAGAGAGTGGATGTGCTCAAGGCACAGGTCTTGGACTCTACTGGTGTTAGTCTTAGCGCTAGCCTAAGTTTTACCTAGAATTCTGGACCTAAAGTCTCTTTTACAGTTGAGAATGTGGGGCACCAAAGAATGCAGTCTCAGGGCTGAGGGAGGGCTTAGTGGTAGAGCGTTTGCCTAGCATCTGCAAGACCCTGGGCTGAATCCCCAGCACCGCAAATAAAACAAACCAGGAATGGAGTCTTGCCCAAGGTCGTCAATATGCAGTTGTTTACTGTATTCTTTTTTCCTTCACAACACTTGTCGTTGCCTAACCCTATCCCGTTGAGTCTCTTGCCTCTGTCGGGAATGGAGGTTCCATACTGGTCTTGTGCACCCACGTGTCTGGTTCCAAGAACCGTGTGGTGCACAGTAGCCTTGTCCTAAGTTGGTTGATGGATCTGTGTCTCCAGCTTTAAGAACCACCTGGAGCACGGCAGCCTAGCTCCCCGTAGATGGGCCTGTGGCAGAGCGGGACTGAGGGTGCTTGGGATCTTCCTGACTTACTTGTTCGTTCTGCAGATGCTCGGGGTTCACGGACCAGGCACCTGGGTCTGTGCTAGTCAGAAGCCATCACAGTAGCCCAACTGACAGAGAATGAAGCTGAGCAGTTTCCAGGGGAGGGTTTGGGTTCCAGGATCACAGGCAGTGGGCGCTTTGGGCTTCAGGAGGATGGAAGCCTGCAGGAAAGTTTCTATTTCCTCTGCCCCTGCTCTCACCCCTGCTAGAATGAATGAACCTTGCTCTCTGGATAATGGCTTTTCCAGGGCTTTGGAGCATATGGTTATTTTGAAGAGAGGTTAACCTTTCCCTTAATGTAAGATGGAAAACATCAGGTCCATCTGGATTTCTTATAGCTGGGGCTTCTGTTTGGAAGACATACTTGCAGTTTGCCCAGCGAGATGGACCTGCGCAGCTCTCTGAGGGGATGTGAGCTCTTCTGTGAGTGACAGGGGTGGAAGGGTTAATTTAGGGACAGACCACATGGAAAAGTCTGTGTGACCCTCCAAGGAAAGAGCAAGAGGGAAAGAGAAGGGGCAGAAACAGCTGGCTTTACAGCCCGTCCCCACCTTGTGAAATGCATCCACGTCTTTAGCACAATCTGACACATCCCAGGATGGAAGTGGTTTCATCTAGCATCCTGTGCATCGACTTCACTCTGAGTTCTGGGTGGCTAAATTCCAAGAGTGCCTGGGAGGTTCTGGGATTCCAAGAGAGGCTCTAGGGTGGATTTGGGAGAGGTAACAAAGCACTAAGTCAAGGGTCTCGGGGAAGGCAGGAGGACCTCACACCATCAAGGCTGTGCAGCTGGGGCTGGCTGAGTTCACCCAGGGTTGGGGACAGGGGACAGCACGGTTCCACTTGCCCACTTGAGACCAGCTGTCAATACTCAGAAGTTCCTAATTCCATGCCTTGCCCCTTGCATGAATTTAGAAACAAACCAATGTTTCTTACCTGGTCGTTAAGACAATTGACACCAATCTTCCGAATTACAGTTTGGAAAATTCTGAGACACAAACACATGAGAGAATGTCTTTTAGACCACCTTGGCTGCCGAGTGCCTCAGTTTTGTCCAGAGAGGAAAATAAAATGTTTTTGAAGACCCTTTGGCCATCCCGCTAACCCTTCCTTCCCTGGAGACTTGGGTTCCAGATCCCAGGAAGCATGTCTGTGCTCATTTCTGATGCTTTTCTAGAGACTACAAAACTGATTCATTCACCCAACTGTCAGTTGTAAGTCTCACACCAGAGCAATCACTGGCCACAGCGAAAGGGTAAGCAGATTCAAGCCATCTAGCCGTACCGAAAGAAATCATTTTCAAGCTTGCCTCTCATACTAATTCCTGAATTTTTTTTTTTTTTAAATCATTAACACCTGCCTCTTCTGGAAGGGGATTAGGAAGTGAGACTGATTTGGGCTGTCCCTGATGTGAGTACCAGTGGTGCTCTACTGTGAGAGCTTTCATGTTTCTCCATTTAATGTTCCTTCCAATTGGGAGACGATTTGCATTTGATCCTCGGCAGGTGGGACTGGTGCACCTGGGGCACACATCCTCAGCATGCACAGGGGATTACCGCAGTGCCTGGGGTTTGATCAGAGAAAACCAAAGTTACCCCACTTCCGAGCAGCTCTTAATCAGGCTGAGGGTCAGAGCAGATGGGTAAGCCTTTAGAATTCCCCATTTGCATCTATTTGCACTTTACTGTAGAACACGTTCTTATTCCAGAACTCTCATCTCTTCCTTTCAAATACGTCTGGAGCACTTGCTAAGTACCAGGCACTGCACTGTCTCCCCAGATCTCCCCAGCAGCCTGTTCTATGAATACTAGTAATACGAACTAGCATTTTGGGGGCAACATTTATATGCCAAAGGGCAGTGCTAAGTATTTTATGGGTATCATCTGTTATAATCATCGCTATTTTTACTCTCATTTTAAAGACAAAATCAATACGGTCCAGTAGAGGTTCACAATTCTTTATCTGAGATCCTGGTGCCAGAATTGAGAATTTTTTGGATGTGGATTGTATATTGTGTAGGATCCCCAGAAGAGCCATATCACATAATAAAATACATCAATATTTGTGCATAGAAATGTTTAAACTGCCTTAACGGTGGGATAAAGATATAATGGCCTTTTGCCAGTTGGGGCTTTGATACCAATTGAACTATAAAAAGATCTTTGGTTTTCAGAGTTTTTGGAGTTGTGGATGAGGGCTGTCCAGTTTCTTGTGTCAAAGTTAGGACTCAAATCCCTCCCTCACTGCCACAGCCTTCAAAAGAGATCTACTCGTTCCCCAACCTGGCACTTTTCTAGCATTCAATGCCAGCGTCGTTGATGGAGATTTCAACGGCTCTCCTCAGCAGTGGGGTTGAGTTGCAGGCAGCCTTCTTCTGTTTTTGACTTTGCCATGCGCTCTATGTGCCAGCTCACAGGGCACCTAGAAGAGAGAAGTACAAGACTGAGATTTCCATGTGGCCCAGCTGGCCCACCTACTCAGGGTCTTGGGAATACCAGCCACCACCATGTGCGCAAGGTCGGAGGTTGGGCCATGCCTTTGAGTTCAGCCTTGGCTTTTCTGTTTCCAAACAGGGCTCATTTTCTAAGCAAGGCGGAATAGTGTTCCTTCTTCTTCTCGTTCATCTATTTTTAAGCTGGATTTGACAATAAAGGTGATGTGAGAAAGATCTGAGAAAGAGACAAGGTGATGAGATCTGAGCCTGGACTCATCCAAGAACTCTCTTTGAAAGGAATTGGAAATAACCTATCCGAGAGGGGACAAGTGTCACTGTCAACCTCAGTTCACTCCATTCACTCACCAGTAAACACAGATTAGGGGTTTTGTGTACTCGGGAGGGACTCAGGGGATTCAGTATCGAATAAGACTCTCTCAGTCCTCAGCTCACAGACTGACTGCTACGGGTGACAGAGCCATGTGAGCCATCTTTAAAAGCAAAGTGGATAGCACTGTGAAAAGAATGCCTGGGAGCTGCAGAGAGAAGGGGTTCAGCTGGGAGTCAGTGTAGGCCTCAGTATGTGGGTGGGAGGTGACAAAGGCAGTGACACATGATGCATGGCCGGCTACTGCCCCTCCTTAGCCTCCAGATAGCCACATGCTTCATTTTCCTCCAACTCCTTGGTCCTCTCCTTATCTCCTCCTGCTAGGAACGGGCATGTTCAGTCTCCTGCCCAGAGCCACCTTCTTTCTTGTTTGTGCTCTACCTTCTTTCCCGATCTAATCTCATTCACTAGTGCTCAGAACCTTCCACACCTAATCTGCCCTGTGACGTGTCAGCCGCGTGTCTCTGTTAAACTCTAAACCCCAGCGTCATGTCCCCATTCATCATCTCTATTTAGGAGTTTACAGACACCTCGAGATGAGCAAGTCCGAGCGGGAACTCGTTTGCCAGCTGGTTCCTCCTCAAACTGTCTCAGGAAATGCTGCAATTGTTCCTTCGTCCCTCCTGCTGAAATTGCCAGCCAAACCCTACCGATTCTTTCACCAAAATGTATGCACATATTCATGGGGTACCATACCGATTTAATACATGTATGCAAGCACGTAATATTGAAATCAGGTTAAACCTACCTATGTCCTCAAACATTTACCATTTCTTACTGATGAAAACTTTCAAAACTCTGTTCTTTTCGAAATGTACAGTATATTACTGTTGTCTCTAGTCCCCCAGTTGTGCAATAGCACCCCAGAACGTCTTGCTTCTGTCTAATTGTAACCTAGCACCTACCCACTGGCCAAACTTTCCCCACTGCCTTTCTCCTGAATTTTTTTTCCAGTTCCACGCATAAGAGAGATCATCTGTCTTTCTGTGCCTTGCTAACCAGTACATTTGGGTTGAGTCTACCTGCAGTTATCTCTCTGCCTCTTTTTGAGCACGAGCCACCATTCTGTGTTCTGTTCAATTAGGTGTGGCCCCAAGAGGCGGTGCAGAAGAGGCTTGGGGAAAAGCAAAGTCTGTTACATTTCTAGGACCTAGACACAGGAGGGACGGAACATCACACAGAGCCACATGGGAAAGTGTGGTCAGAAGACAGGAGCAAGGGAAGTATGAGGTCAGAGCCCTTCCTGGGGTTTCCTTGGGAAAGACAGGCAGGATAGGCGAACACTTCAGGACTGGCCAATTGGGATACTTCTGGCAGGCTCTCAGCTACATAGGTGGTCTCCAGGAGTCTGGTGCCTGGCGCTGATCCCGTTGCCCTCAGATAGAGGAAGTCTGGCCCTGGGTTGGTTAGTGTGTTTATCAAAGGCTGGCTCCCTCCCAGTGAAGCATTTTCCTGTCTCCACAAGAGGTGAGCCTAGGGAAGGGCCCCCTGTCCCTGGCCAGAATAGTTTTTCAAGATGTCAAAACACCGTAATATCCAGACAATAAAATATAAATATTCAATACAGCCACCCACTCTGCTTGGCTGTTAGAATAGTCTGCAACCCGCCTCCCTGCTTCTGCTGGTGCCCTGGCATCCATCGTGCGTACCCGGGCATGCAGGGCAGCCCAGTTAGTCTCCACCTACGGGCGGTCTGGCGGGCTCCCATCCCCCATCCTGTGCTTTTCAAGCTCTGCCTACCCCTGCTCACCATCTTACCACCCACTACCACCCCCTTTCTCCTTGTAGCCATTCTGAGGCCACAGAACTTCAGTATTTTTTTTTTTCTTGCTCAACACTTTTGTTTTTCATTTTTTAAACACAAAAAATTTTCTGGCCTATCAGCCTGTTATAGATGCTGCTCCTGAAATAGTCACATCCTTTCTCATGAGGCTCTGCATCCTTTTGCATCTCATCTTCATTCCTTGGGGCTCTACTTTGGGTCCCTTCTGCAGCCAGCCTTCTCTGACCACCCAGGTGGGAGTCATTCCCAGCCCATCGCTCTCCCCATGGCCTTTCTTCCCCTTCAGTCGCAATTTCACACAGCAGTTCAAGAATACCTGTGTTCCTGTGTGTTCCAAGTATTTGCTTCCTTATGAGCTGGATAAGGCCAGAAGTTGGTGACGCCTACATTGTAATAGATCATTTTCATTTTTGCCTCTGAGTGAGGGACGTGTAGTCAGCATGCCAAGGGCAGCAGCAGCAGCACAGGGAACAGAGTGGCTCTCTGCAGTCATGTGGGAAAAGTCAGGGTGCTCTGGATCAGCATATAATGGAGTCCCTGGGGGCATTTTTATATAGCTACCCTCTCACTGTCTTTCATCTGTAGTAGATCTGGATACTTTCCCACTGAGAGCCGCTCAGCATCTTTCCCAGCACAATCAGCCCGGTCTAGTCACTGAACTGGCCTGGTTAATTGCCACTGCTGGCCTACGGAACGTAAGGTACAACACACTCCTTGGCGCTGCTTAATTATTCATAAATTTACCTCTTAGAGAGAATGTGGAACTTTGAAAGTTAGATTTTTTTTTTTTTTTAAAGAGATTAACAACTTCTCCAAACTTTCTCCCTGAGCACATAACGTGCCCCCCTCATCTTAAAAGAACTGACAGACAACACAGGAACCTGGTTTCCTTTATCCTAGAAAGAGGAGGGTGAGCTGACGATGACTAGAAGTCATCTAACACAAGAGTGGAGATCCGTATTATCTGTCTGTGCTTGCCCTCCCCTATGTTCCTTATTATAAAAAACCCCTACCCACCTGTTCATGGCAAGATGGTGATTTGAGACAAGTTGGCCCCTCCGTCTCCTCAGAGCTAGGTTTTTTTTCCAGCTAAGCTAGATTTGTGGGGGTTTTTTGTTTTTTTGTTTTTGGTCTTTTTGAGACAGGGTCTCGCTATATAGTTCAGGCTGGCCTTGAGCTCACTTTGTAGCCCAGGCTGGTCTTGAACTTGAAACAATCCTCCTGCCTCAGCCTCCAGAATGCTGGGATTACAGGTGTGTGCCACCATGCCCAGCTGTAAGCTAGATTTGAATAAATCTTGTTTCCTGTTTATCAAACTATGTGGCCTCCTCTGATTTGACAATGAGCAAATTAACCTAAGCACATGAACCTAAGTGGCTGCTAACAGTTTTGGCAAGCCACCCAGGAGGTAAATCCTAGCTTCTGAGAGGCATGCATCCCAGTAGCACTTGGGGAAAGGGACACTTTTGCACCCAGGAGTCTTCCTCCTTTCCTGTTCATGTTATCAGCTGCCAATACATGCTTTTTTTCCCCTACTTTTGAGACAGACTCTCACTATATAGTTCAGGCTGGCCTTGAACTCACTATGTAGTCCAGGCTGTCCTCAAACTCCCAGTGATCCTCCTGCCTCAGCCTCTCAAGTGCTGGGATAACAGCGGTGCACCTTTTATTGATAAAAGGAAAAAAAGGTTGTTCAGGGAGCTGAGGGGTCTGCCTGGTTTCCGCTGTGAGATGTATACCAGGTGTTGCTGGACACTTATGTCCATATGCTTGGGTTTGTTTGTTTGCTGTTGACCAAATCAAAGAAAGTAATTTACTTGGTTAAAAACAGGGAAAAAAGGATTTACTCAGATCTAGCTCAGAGCAGGTGGAGCAGTCTGCTGTTACTTGCTTTCTTGTCCCTGAGACACCAAACCCAACCCACAGCTCTAAGCAGGCTGCAGTCCATGGGCAGCAGGCTCCGAGGGGGGGCAGCATGGTAGAGGGGCGTGGAAGAGGAAAAATGGCTTCTGGCCTGGAAAGCAGGAAGCAGAGAAAGGGGGCTGGCTGAGAGATCAAGGGAGGAGAGAGGGAGATAGACCCTCTGGGCCATGCCACCAGGGACCCACCTCCTCCTCCGAGGCTTCACCCCCAAGCATCAAGTTTGCTATGAGCTCATCAGTGGACCTATCTACTGAGGAGTATGACACCCTGTGACCCAGCCACCCGTGAGCACATGAAGCTTTGTGGGGGGGTCGTCTGGATAGAAACTGTCACAGGGCCCGTCTCTTTCAAGTCACCGTCTCCCCGTGTACAGGTGGGTACCGGTCTTTTCTAATAAGGAACAGGGAGGGGAGCACAGAGAGACAGTGCAGATCTCCACACCTGCCGTAGTGCTTCAGCCGCCCTCAGCTTATCCTCCTCTTTCTAGGGGAAAGGGAACCAGGCTGCGGCCTCCTGGGGCTGGTGGCATCTGCGTATTCTGTCACTTCTGTTGGGCTGAGGAGAGGAGCGGGTGTTTGTTATGCGCTCAGCAGGAAGTTTGAAGAAATTGCTTATCTCTAAAAGAAAAAAAAAAATCTAACTTTCAGAGTTCCATTTTGCAGTGCCAGCTATGCAGGGACGGACTGTCTGGACCATTCGGACCTTCTTTGGGGTTATTCAGCGTTGCCATTTGGGGCGAGGCACGTCCCTTCATATTTGTGGCCACTTGAAGCTACTGCAGATCATTCTGGGGCACTGACCGGTGTGAGAAGGGAGTCAGAGGTAGACAACCTTTCCAGGCATTTGTTTTGTTGGTTTGGAGCACTCATTTGTATTGGTTTGCTTTGGTATGCTTTTGTTTATCTTTCTCTTCTTCTTTTTTTTTTTGGGTCTTTTTGAGACAGGGTCTTGCTATGCAGTCCAGGCTGGCCTTGAGCTCACTTTGTAGCCCAGGCTGGTCTCGAACTCATAACGATCCTCCTGCCTCAGCCCAGTGCTGGGATTACTGGCATGCACCACCACGCCCGGCTATCTTTCTCTTCTTATAACCGTATTTATTCTAGGATGGGCATCAGGGTTTCGGTACCATCTAGAATTCTGTTAGCCATTTGGGGGTTCAAACCATTCTGAGGCTTCTTTGTGAGCCAATATAGAGTTCAAGGTTCTCAAACCACTTACTGACAGTGGAAAAAAACAAATTTAATTAAATGATTTTAATTGTTTTTCTTTTATATGTGTGTTTTTGGGACAGGGTCTCGCTATGCAGTTCAGGCTGGCCTTGAGCTTACTTTGTAGCCCAGGCTGATCTCAAACTCACAATGATTCTCCTGCCTCAGCCTCCCAAGTGCTGGGATCATGGGTGTGCACCACTACGCCCAGCTGATTAAATGATTTTAAAAAGATAGAGACCTGGTGGTGTATTGAAGAGCTCTGTTGTAAATTGTTCAAGGATAAAAGTGCTTGTGCTACTTTAAAGCTCCCTAGAAAGTTTTAGTTACTTGTGACTTAGAAAAAGATAATTTTATTGTGATAAAACATGGCCTATATAACTGAAAGCATACTCTAATTTCATGGAACTGTCCTTGGTTTTGGCCAGGATAACATCTGTACCTGCTTTCCTTCCCCTTTTCTGAATTTTTTTTTTGTTTTTTTTGTTTTTGTTTTTTTCCGGTACCGGAAATCGAACTCACGACCTTGCACTTGCCAGGCAGGTGCTGTGCTGCTGAGCTAAATCCCCAGCCCCCCTTGCCCTTTTCTGGATTAGTGCAAGTACAGGCAATAATAGCCTTTTGTTTCCGCTGACCGGGCAGCTGCTTGGCCAATGTTGTTTAGTTTATTGAGGTTTAAATTTCCCCTTATTTTGGCTAAGCATCCTTGGTTCATTCTAAACCAGTTGTGTTTCAAAATATTTGTCAAAACTTGTTTGCTGAAACTTGGTTTGTGTCCCCTCCACCTCCATTCCTTAACTTAAGAGATGGAGGTATTTGACTGCAGATGGCTGGCCCTTGTGTTTTTCTTTGTGGGAAGCACTGTTCCTAAACTGGTTTATTTTTTCACACTAGAGGCTTTGAGCCCTAGACCCAGGATAAAATGTGTAAACTTCTGACCAGCTAAATCTAAATTTGAACAAAATGGAAAATGTCTTAAAACTTGGGAGCTTTTAAACTGACTAAGACCTATAAAAAGTTAAGCAGGAAAAAGAAAAATCTTCAGAAAATTCAAACACAGGTTAATTGGGCAAGCAATCTCCTTTGAGATGTATATTTACCTTGCTACAACCAAGAATGCTGCTTTTTTTTTTTTGAGGCAGTGTCTCACTATATAGTGCAGGCTGGCCTTAAACTCACAGTGATCTTCCTGCCTCAGCCTCTCCTGAGTGCTGGGATTATAGGCTTGTGCCACCAGGTCTAGCAAATCCTACTTTCAGATATGCAAATTTAGGATTACATATGATTTAGGACTGTAAAAAGAACAATTATGTTAATGGAATAAGGTTTAAAAGCTTGTTTTATGTGTATTGACATGCATGTATATATGTAGTGTCTATGTGTATACTTGTGTTTGTATGTCATGTAGGTGATACCAGATTACTTTAAAATTAAGAGTGCTCAGTAATTAAGAAAGTGTAAGCCCAAATGTCTGTTAGTCCCTGTGACTTCAGAAAATGTGCAAAAGATAGAATAAAAGTGTCTTCAGAACTATTAACATACATTTTGCCTGTTAGCAAACCAAAATTGGTGTTTGACTTTCAAAAGAGAATTTTCAGTTTTATGAAGGTTATAAAAATACTAAGGAACGCGGCTGGGGATTTAGCTCAGCGGCACAGTGCTTGCCTGGCAAGCGCAAGGTCCTGAGTTTGATTCCTGGTACCGGAAGAAAAACAAACTAAAAAAAAAAAAGAACCCCCCCCTAAAAAAAAACACTAAAGAGCGAACAAGAAAATTGAAAAATTTGGTTTGTTAGGATCATAAAGACTCTTGGGAGTCAGAGTTGAACACTGAGGTAGGTAATAGGACACACATATTAATACGACTCTGACTGGCCGTTCTTTTATTTAAAAGTCCTAATCGTTCAGCTTCTGAGAAATGTTATGGAGCGGTTGTTAGCATCAAGGTTGTTTCTAGTATTAGCAGAAGGCACCTAAGAGACAGTATTTTGCCACTGTGGAACATGGGTTAAAAGAATGTGCTGTGGTTTATAGCTTTTAAGTTCCTGACTATGCCGAGGAACAAGTAATGCTTTCGGTGAGCAGCAGGTAAAGCCCAGGTCTGCCTGTTTCCCATCTCTGTCGCACTCCTTAGGTCATGACTGCATCAGTTTCAGGCTTCAGGATTGGCGTGTTCCAAAATGCTCGCAGGATCATTTTGTTAACCAAGAAGGGTATGCAGCAAGGTGAGCAAACGAGCTTAAGCGTATGAACCTGCGTAGCTAGTCACAGGTAGAAGCGTTTCTTAAAAACCAAGCCTTGTCTGGGTTTCATTCATTTAATCTATTTTTCCCTCCTTCTCCCCCCTCCCAGGAGAAAATAATGAATGTCAAAGGAAAAGTAATTCTGTTAATGCTGGTTATTTCAACTGCAGTTGTTGTGGTTTTGGAATACATCAACAGGTAATTATCAAGCATGATACAACGATATTGATGAATGTACCACTTTGACTCTATTTTACTAGTATCAGCCAAGTTACAAGATAAATTAAAATTAGGATCATTGAACCCATAAATAAGGGATCCTACCTTTCCTGCCTTCCTGAGCCCTGGATTGTCTAAAATCACAGACTCAGGCCGGTGATATAGCTCAGTGGCCCAAATACCTGCCTGGCAAGCACAAGGTCCTCAGTTTGATTTCCAGTCACAGACTCCCAAGTAAATTCCAGCTAGTTAATTATCTGTTTTTCCTACTATGTTCCTATTATCCTCGTTTTTGTTTTTTTTTTTTTTTTTGTACTGGTGGGCTAGACCCAGACAGAATGAGTTTGGATTAAGCCCAAAGTACAATCTTAAGTAATTTGTATAATCAGATATGGAAATTACTTTTAAGAAATTTCAGACAGGAATTCCGTAAGAACTCCACCCTGAATTTTGCAGTCCTGAAATGTTTGTAGAGTCTGACAGAGCCATTCAAGTTGATGACTTTTGCTGCGAATATACACACTGAGTTGCCGGGGAGTCACTTGTGCCTGGCCAAAGCTTGCTCGTTCTCTCTGTCTCTGCCTCTGCCTCTGTCTCTGTCTCTCTCTTCCCTCTGGAATGCATGAATTAAATGCTGTCAGTTTTTAAATTTCATTGTGTTTTCAAATATATGAACTACATCTGTGCTTTTAAAACTACATTGACGTGGAGATTTTAGTCAGAGAGGCTTCACGACTAAAAGAAGTCGCCACCAGCAGCTGCAGAAAGGCATGAGGCTTTGACCTAAGTGAAACTGGTAAAGCTCACCCTTCCGGTACAAAGCATCTGCGGTGAACTGAATTGTACAGAGTTGTCTTGGCACCATTAATATTTCCATAATAAAGTGTTTTGTTTTTAATTTTTGCGGTACTGGGGTGCTAAATTACAGTGCTAAACCCAGGGTGAGGCAAGTGCTTTACTGTTGAGCTACACCCCCAGCCTTCCTTTCTTTTAAATTCTATTTTGAGGCCAGTCTTGCTAAATTGCACAGGCTGACATCAAATTTGCATTCCTCCTGCTTTGGCCTCCAGAGTAGCCAGGATTACAGACTGTGCCACTGTGCAGGGTTTAGTGTGGTATTTTAGTGGCATCCAAATTCACGATGGTAGGCTGGATTAATATGTGAATACTGTATCTTAGTGCGCAAATTCTTAACATTTGATGATCTAGCAGACCTGTCTTGGCTACCAAAAAAGGAATTGCATCTTTAGGTGCATTAATAGCAGGAGGAAAATTCCAGAATACAGAAGTAATTAGTCTTGAAGATCTAACCACTTCTAGAATGTGTTTTCGTTTCATTCTGGTTTTTGTTTTTTTCTTTTTTTTTTCCTGGTACTGGGAATCAAACTTAGGACGGTGCACTTGCCAGGTGGGTGCTTGTGCCACTGAGCTATATCCCCAGCCCAGATTTTGTTTCATTCTGAATGGCTAATTTTAAGAAAAACAACAAACTAGAGTATAACCAAGTTACAAGGTCTGGAAACTAGGTCTTTTGTCTTGAGGAAACTGGTTCAAAGATGAAATGACTCAGAGTTGGATGCTGGGAAGTTGGGGCTCCCTGAGGCACTTGAGAGTTGAGGAAGTGGGTTATAGGGCGAGGCCGCCTGGGTTGGTCCTTTCTTTTGTGTGTGTGTGTGTGTGTGTGTGTGTGTGTGTGTGTCTTTTTGAGACAGGGTTTCACTATACAGTTCAGGCTGGCCTTGAACTCGCTTTGCAGCCCAGGGTGGCCTCGATTTCAAACTTGCAGTGTTCCTTCTGGCTCAGCCTCCCGAGTGCTGAAATTATAGGCGTGTGCCACTACACCCAGGGGGTCTTCTGCTACCATGTACCTCCTCCATGACCTTGGACAAGTTATTTGATCACTGTGTCCTTCAGTCTTTCTACCTTTAAAACTGGGGATAGTAAGAATACCTGCCTTATAGGGTTATTGGGGGATTACATAACCCTAGAAAGTGGTTGGGGCAATAGCTAGGAGTTCATGGGCACTCAATACATGCAAGGTGCCATCAGCAGCAGCATCACCACCATCACCATCATCTTAGCTCAGGCCACTATCACAAGATGCCGTACACTGGGTGGCTTTACCAAGAGGAATGTATCCCTTGCAATTCTAGAGGCTGGGGAGTCCAAGGACAAGGTGCCAGCTGACTTAGTTCCCAGGTGAGCGATCTCTTCCTGGCTTGCAGACGCCGCATTCTCCCTGTGTCCACACGTGGTGGAGCACAAGTGAGTTAGAGTCTTTCCCTCTTTTTACAAGGACACACATTTCATCATGGGCCCCTTGTCCTTATACCCTCATCAAAACCTAACTACCTAACAAAGGCCTCACTCCAAACACCATCATACTGGGGGCAGAGCTTCAACATATAGACTGGAATGGTCACAAACATTTGCCGGGTAACAGTCATCATCATTATCATTTTCTCCAAATGGGATAAAACAAAACAAGGAATTTTGGCAAATTTTTTTAAAAAAAATTTAAAACCCCTAGCAGTTGGAAGAGTACAGCAGAGGAACAAGTACCCTTTGAGGTTCCTGCCTGGAGCTGGCAGACTTGTTTGAAAAGCTGCCACATTCTGAATCTGAAGATCAAGAAGAATTGTGATGTTTCAGGATAGTCTATCTTGATCTTTCAAGATAGTTTCAGGGCTCTGAATTGTAGCCAAAGTTGTATTTCCCTCTTTTGGGCGGTTCATATCATTAAAATATGAGAACTGAAGGCTCAACCGAGCATACTTGTGCTGGCCTCCCAGAAAGGATTATCGGGGGTGCTGGGCATGCTCTGCAGGTGACTGGAGCAGGTTCTGGCTGCTCCTCAGGGCCACCTTCCACATCGTTCTCTGATTTGCGGAATCCACTTCGTTGTGAATCCACTTGGTTGTAAAAGGCTTTAAAGGGAGTAGATCTTTCCCACTTTATGATGGGATGGCCTGAGGTGAGCTGAGGACGCTGAATGGAGAGGATTGGGCAGCATTAAGCTCAAAAAGGTTTAAAGATAACTAAATTAAACACACACGCCATTTAATAAAGAGAAGCTCTGATGTCAATAAAGCACTTTGAAAGAAAGTCATCCAGGACAGCATTTAAGGTAAGGATGACTGAAAAACAAATTTTAGAATTTACCACTGCAAGAAACTTTAAACATTAAAATAAAAAGGCAGTGATGGTGTGGGGGTTATGATGATAATAGCTACCAGGTACTGAGTGTTGGCATGTGCCAGGACCATGCTGTGTACTCTCAACTTCTTACATAGCCTGCAGAGTGGATGCCATTCCAAGTTCCTAGATGAGCACCCTGGGTCTCCAAAATGTTAAACATTAAGGTTCAAGATCCCATTTTAAGAAGACTTAGGTCTCCAGCCTATCTGACCGCAGCTCCTTCTCTTACCCACTTGTGAAACCTTCCTTGTAGTTGAGTCACCATTGTTTGAGTGACAGAGTTGAGACCAAATAGGTGAAGTGACTTCTTAGTGAGCTTCTATCCATGTTCTAACTAGAACTCTGGGCCCCTGAGTCTTTGTCCTGGATCCTTTCTGGAAGTCTTTGTCTGTGCCATATGCTGTGACGGACACAGTGAGAGTCAAGCAGAATTTCTCCCCTCAGGGCATTAGGATCTAGATATGGCAATAAGATATGCATATAAATAACCAATGATGCAAAATAGATGAAGGGTACCAGGTAGAGAAGAAGGCTATGACAGTGCAAGAAAGCAAAGATTATGTGGCCTGGAGGAAGATTCTGTTTTTCTTCTCTGCATTCATTTACGGATTTATTGAGCATCTGCCCTTTGCCAGGCACTGTGATGGGGTCAGTAAGTTGTCATCATGACCTATGGCTGCCTGGACCACTGCCATCACCTCCTGACTGGTCTCTGGTGATGGGGTCATAGCAAGGGGGGCCTAGAAAGGAAGGCATAGAAAAGGTAGCATTCAAATTGTGCCCTGAAGGATGAATACATGTTGGGCTGCCACTGTCGGGTGGATTTTGCTGTGACCACCGTAATGCCAAGATTCTGGAGGAATGAGTAGGAAGTAAGGAGAGATTGTTCAAGAGATGCAACAAATCGGTGAACACCAAACTACAAAGCGAGGCCCAGAATGCCAGGGGGTTGCTGAGTGCTGAGGTGTAACCAGCCACTTCCCTCCTTTTCACCTTCCTGCCTCCCCCTTTCTGCAGGGTGTGGAGCCAGATTCAAATAAGGATTCTTCCCTCGCTACCGGTACAGCCTTGGGAAAGTCACCTAATGCCCCCTGTGCCTCAGTTTCCACATCGGGGAATGAAGATAAGAGTAGAATTCACTTTGTGGATAAGAGCATTTCATGAGCTTATAGATGTAAATTGCCTAGAACAGTGCCTGACTGAGTATTCTCCCTTGTGAATATTATCAGAATCAATAAACTAATGTAGGAACCAGGAGCTTTAGAGCTTTGGCAGAGTCTGAAACAACTATTACTCATGTTTGTTCATTGGGAGGAGACACTGTCTAAGTGAGGCTTAGAACTCAGGCAGAGTTTCTGCACAGCATAATGGACGAATCCAGTTAATGACAAGTCCTTAGCCTTTACACTCAAAATGCCTCTTGGTCAGTAAGTTGTCATCATGATGCATGGATGCCTAGACACTGCCATCACCTCCTGACTAGTCCCTGCATTTCCTCCTGTACTCCCCGCAGGTTGTTCTCCAGTGACCTTTTCAGAAGCACATGAGACCCTGTCTCTCCCCTGCTTGAAGCTCTTGCAGGGCAAATCCCTAGCAGGCTCCTTCTCTTCCATTTCTCCTTCCTTCCTACCTCAGAGTTCTGTATATTTTCTATCTGAGACACTCTTCCCACTTTTCTTCACCTGCTGAGCTGTGTATCCTTCAGAACTCAGCTAAAACATCAGCCTCTCCTCCAGGAAACCTTCCAGGTCTTCCCAATAAGTGCTTCTGCTTGGTGGGGCTTCTTGGAATATGAAGTCATGTAGCTGTGTGATTATCTGAACCAGGTCTGCCTTCCCAGCTGCATTATATGAGGACTGTATCAGTCTTGGCTAATGGAGTATCCCCAGGACTTGGCACAGGGTACCACATGCCCAGCAAATATTTGTTGAGTGAATAGAGGTGATCTATGAAAGAAGTTCTAGTGGCTGGTCCAGCCTTGCAGGTGCTTCCAAGGCAGTCTCAGTGCCTCTGTTAGTTAAAGTAATGCCTGGGGGGACAGCGCTGTAGAAGACCCTGAGCTGGATGTTGGATCGGGCTCTGCATTTGATGCTTTGGTGTCTTGGGGAAGATAAACCCTGCATGAAGGGCAGCTAGGCCATCCATGGTATTTCCTGCTTACCTTCTGCATCACCAGGCACTGGAGTAAGTGCTGCCTATCGGTCCACATCTGTCAAACCTCTGTCCCTCAGTGAAGCCATTCTGGACAACAGAGGATAGATTGTCTTCTTATAAGCACAAAAAAACAGGCCGGGCGTGGTGGCACATGCCTATAACCCCAGCACTCAGGAGGATCTTGCGAGTTCGAGACCAGCCTGGGCCACAAAGTGAGCTCAAGGCCAGCCTAAGCTGCATAGCAAGATCCTGTCTCAAAAAGACAAAAAAAAAAAAAAAAACCTTCGTATATTTCAACATATTAGTTCTCTGTCCAAGTTGTAGCTGGTAAAAACTTTTTACCTATTCTTATGTTGTCTCTTCACTCTGTTGGTAGGGCTGGGGATGTAGCTCAGCGACATAAGTGCTTGCCTGGCAACCCTGAGGTCATGAGCTCGATTCCCAGTACCAAAAAAAAGTCTTCACTCTGTTGGTTGTTTCCTTTGCTGTGCCGAAGCTTTTTAATTTGGTGCAATCCCATTTTTACTTTCTTGATGTTATTTCTTGTGCAGTTGGGGTTCTGTCCAGAAAGTCCTTGTCTAGACCTATGACTTTGAGAGTTTTACCTATGTTATCTTTTAGCAGGTTAAGTGTTTCTGTTTTACCATTTAGATCTTTGAACCATTTTTTTGTTTGTTTGTTTGTTTGTTTTTTTTTTTGAGACAAGAGTCTTGCTATGCAGTTCAGGCTGGCCTTGAGCCCACTTTGTAGCCCAGGCTGGTCTCGAACTCACAGCGATCCTCTTTCCTCAGCCTCCCAAGTGCTGGGATTACAGGTGTGTGCCACCATGCCCGGCTACCATTTTGATTTTAGTTTAGTACAAGGTGACAGATAGGGGTCTAGCGTCACTCTTTTTCATGTGGTTAGCCAGGTTTCCCAGCACCATTTGCTAAAGAGGCTCCCTTTTTTCAGTTTATGTTTTTTGAACAAACAGTAGGGAATAGGGAGATAGATCTATGGTGAATGGGAAGAAGCCAGGGAGGGGCATAAAAAGAAATAAAATTTGTCATATACATGTATTGACTACCCACAGTGAACATATTCATGATGTACTGCAAATGTGTACTAATAAAATAAAATAATGGGAAAAAAATCCCACAATTCTAGGTCTTCCAGTACCTCCTTTCCCTGGAGAGCATGAAATAATTAAGAATAGAAATTTCCTTTCTCCTTCACCACTGGTTCTGTCTCAAAGGAAGGTAGAGACCCTGGGGTAGCTAAAGCACAGACTTTCAGCTCAGCCCAGGGCTCAATGACAATGGTTTTAAAACAGCCTTTCTTAGAATTCAAAGTAACATGCTATGTTTTTATTTCTTGTTTGCTTTTAGCTCAGAAGACGCTTTCTTGTGGATCTATCCCTCCAAGTAAGTGCTCTGAATTCTTAGATATCTGCTGATGTCTCTCAAATCTGCTGTCTTACCCACTACAGTCTGTTCACACACCAACCAGTGATGGTTCTCAGACAAAAGTTGAAGGGAAGCGTGGAGGGGAGGCAGGTCCCTGCTGATCTGGGGATCTGGGCTGTATTCCTCCAGCTTCCCAGACTTGTCTTTATAGAGCCATGACTTGTGCTCTGCATTTGCGTCTTATCAAGGGTCTCTGTAAGTGACATAATTTGTGGAGCAGCCCTGTCTTGCTGATAAAACCGAATCTGGGAAGATAGTATCCACTATTCTGCTCTGTATGTGTTGTTTAAAGAGCTATGAAAGAAATTGCTCTGAGAATAAGAATCAGGAAAACTTTCAAGTTTCTTAAAGAACTAGTGAGTATTATTTTTTTAAAAAGGAAAATGAGAGGTATGAATTTTCCCCTCTTTGCCCTGGTTGCCAGGAAGCTCAGAGTAAAGTATTGTTCTTGTTTGTACTTGCCCCACCTTCATAGCTAGTGTATTTTCTCACCTGCTCTTATATCCTGGGCACCTTGGCACCTTGTTCAACCACCAACCAAACCACTATCTCAGCTGTACATGGAAATAAAGGTAAAATTTTCATTTAGGACAACTAAGGTCATGTGAAAGTACTTATCTGTCTGACTCAGTCAGAACTTGTCTTCTGTTTCTCTTTCTATTCCTGTGATGTTTCTCTGCTTATTGCAATTATGTCTTTGTATTGTGAGCCATCTCAGACCCTTCCTGCCAGTAGATGAGATTCACAGTATTAACACTAAGATGTTTTAATATTATGATGCCTGTTTGCAAATTGCCTGTGACCTTCTCTGTCCAACTGAAGAGTGTTATATGCCCTGGCTTCCTCCTCTTTCTCCCTCAGAAAGCCCCCATCGATGTGGAAAATTTCTCAAGAGAGTACCTGTGGTGGCTTCTAATTATAATTTCCTAAACTTTTTGTTCAGGCATTCTCAGATTTCCTGAAACTGTCATAGCTGACCCTTGGACAAGTAGACATTTTCTCAGGCTGACCATTGGAGCAAACTGGACTGTCTTAGTTTTGCAAAGAGATAATTTTTGAAAATGTCCTTTGGGTTTTTTGTTGTTGTTGTTGTTGTTGTTGTTCTTGTTTTCTGGTACCAGGAATCGAACTCATGACCTTGCGCTTGCCAGGCAGGTGCTGTGCCACTGAGCTAAATCCCCAGCCCCTGCCCATTGGTTTTTCATTAAGGCTACAACTTGTTACAGTAAATCACCTTCATGGTAGGCTTGTTATCGTTATTAACTACACTTTTGAGAGGAGAAAGTCCCAATTCAGGCAGAGAAAAACAGCTTATCACAGTCACACAGCTAGTAACTGGCCGATTCAGGACTTGGGTTATGTGTTAATGCCTTTCCTACGTCCTTTTTTTTTCTTTTTTTTCTACCCTCCTTTTCTCCCTTTCTTCCTGTTGGGGATCCCTGGATAAGCTGAGTCTGGGGACTCCTCAAGGGATAGGAGGCTGACCCTGAGCTCCAGCTCTCCTTTTTGGCAAGAAGTTTCACTTCTACCTGTTTCATGAATTGCCATCTTAAAATAAACTTCTTAAATAGTGATGCCTGCCATTAAGAAAAAAGTTTGGAAACCCCCCAGTTTGAGCAATGTCTCATTTTCTAAAAATGTTGATATTCTTTTTCATTTCCTAGAAACCCAGAAGTTGATAACAACAGCAGTCAGAAGAGCTGGTGGTTTCTGAACTGGTTTAAGGATAGGTAAGGCGATCGGAGGGTGGTACGTGTCTGTCCACCCACTCTGGGCTGTTGGAGAATCCAGTTAAAATGGTTTTACATTCACGACCTCAGTCACTCATTCTGAAATCACATGAGAAATCTCTTATGGGTGGGATGGGGACATTTAAGGTGAGGTTTTTTTTCCCCCCTTCCAGTTAACACAAGGATGAGGCTTGGGCTGAAATTTATCTTCTTTTTTTTTTTTTTTGGTACGGGGAATTTTGGGTTGAATTTTTTTTTTTTTTCTTTTGGTCTTTTTGCGACAGGGTCTCATTGTGCAGTTCAGGCTGGCCTTGAGCTCACTTTGTAGCCCAGGCTGGTCTCGAACTAGCAACGATCCTCCTGCCTCAGCCTCCTGAGCACTGGGATCATAGGCATGAGCCATCACGCCTGGCTTGGGCTGAAATTTAAATCGCAGGAAAGAAATCATAAACCGAAATGTTCTTAGGAGGACTGTTTTCACAAGTCCCCCCAATCCCTCAAATGATCTGAGGATTGCTTGGTCATTAAACTGCTGCCTTGGATGGGTGATAAGAAATGGGGTAGTGCCCTTTTCATTCAAGGTGTGTCCTAATAAATAAACGCGTAGTGGCGGAGCCTTTCTCCAGCCCTTGTACTGATGCTCATCCTCTGTTCCTCATTCCATGGGATGGTTCCTTACCCTAACTGCCTTGCTTTCCCTTTGTGCTTAGGACCCACGATTATCAAGAGGAAGAAATCAGCATAGAAGAAGGGACAAAAGGAGAGCTTCAGCTATCAGACTGGTTTGATCCAACGTAAGGAAAGAACAATTGCTCTACGTGCAGTAAACCCGTAGCTCAGCAGGAGGTGGGGCGCTACAGATAGCTTGAATGGAATAGAGGACATTCCTGATTAGAGCACAAGAGTCTTCCTGATTAGGGAGGCAGGGCTTTAGCATATATTAGACCTCTAACAATGAACTTTGGATAAGAAACTGAGATCTGAATGCTTTGTCCCAAGTGACTGAACAAAACAGTAATTCTCACAGCAGTTGGTCAGAGGTAGCAAATGAAACGCAAAATATTGGGGCCAGCAGGGCTCTCACAGGCCACAGGATGAGGTAAAAAGCCATGAAATCTGGAGTATGAGCAAGAAAATTCTCCCTCAAATTCAGGTAACTCATCTGTAAAATGGGACTGATGATTCAGAAAAACCGTAGGCAGTCATGAATTCATTTATTAAGCAATATATGCAAATGTTTTCAACACTTATCATGTGTAGCTGGCATTTTCCAAATTACTGGTCACTACATGAACTCATGAACCCATTCATGTGTTCAAAAACTAGTTTATTGGGTCAAACTAACCTTTTGAAGAAGTTGAAATAGAACAGACTATCAAAGGGTATCACACAAAGTAAGGATAAGTATTGAGTGGAATTTTTGTTTCTGTATATATGTGTATGTGCATATGTATTTGGTTGTGATATAAAATATCTTTCTTATGAGTTATGGGCTAAAAACTGTGCTAGGCATTGCATTCGACACAGGAGATAGGAAAAAATCAGTGAAGATGGTTATATTTAAGAAGGTCATGGTCATGGGGCTGGGGGTGTAGCTCAGGTAGAGCATGTGCTTAGCATACATGAGGGCCTGGATTCAATCCCCAGCACAAGAAAAGGAGAAAGAGAAAGGGGAGGAGGAGGAAGAGGAGGAATTGTTGTTCATTGACTCATAGGGGCAGTAGCTGTGAAACTAGTGTTTGCCAAGGTTGGTAAGGAGGTCTGATCATCTGATTCAAAGGATGTAGTTTGGGAACTAAGTAGATGCAAACTGTCCAGGGAGACTGTGCAGCTGGAGAGATTTGTGGGTGGTGGTATCACTGACCGAGAAAGGGGCTTGTGAGGGAAACAGAGGTGTAGGGGTTGGAGGAGGAAATGAGCTTCATGAACACTGTGTATGGATTCTGCTGCTTACGAGGCATCTGGAGAGTCCCAGGCTACGCATGAGCTTTGCAGAAAGAATGAGCTGGAAATGTCAGTGAGGAGTCGTCAGAGTATAGATGGCTGTAGGATCATATCCTGTGGGCCTGGATGAGGCCACCCAGAGAGAGGCTGTCTAATATCTGTATTTAAGGAGCTGGTGGAGAAAGAAAAACCTCAAAAGGAGCAGGAACAGCTGTTGAGGTAGGAGGAGTGTCAGGAGGGAGTCACGTGTTGTCCTGTGTGATGGATCTTGGGCTCTGGAAAGATTGGAAATATTCTGGCAAGCTTACTTATTCTTTGGAGGTAGGAGATCCACGCCAGTTGGAAGGATGAGAATTTTGACGTCTTATGCCTCTTGCAAAGAGCTGGACAACACGGTAGCCATGTAGGAAATGCTAAACCACTACTAGAAATGTAAGAAGATAAAAGTACTGGTGCTTTATCAGCCCCTTAGATAGAAGGGATGAGACTCCCAAGGGGCAGGCAGGCGAGGGGAGCCAGAGTTGGTCACCAAGGGCCCTTCGAAGGAGGGCGGGGCAGTTTCACTATGGTGCGGGTGCTTTGCTGAGCAGAACTTCGGAGGTGGGGCCGGGGATGGCTTACTAGGAGCACAGAGGAGAGGCAAATCGTGGTCACAAGCTGTCACTCTCCCTCTGGCATGATTAGGCTTCACCTCCAAATGAACGGCAAGCAGATATCCAAATGAGAGCCTTCTTGGGGCACCCAAATTTACTTCTTGCATAAATGAATGACTGGGCGGAAGAACAAACATGTTTTATATTGCTGTGTCCTTCTCTGTGAACATCACCTCGCAGTGTTTCCTGCACCTTTTCCCACAGTGAGATCTCTCGGCTTCCCCTTCTCCCTCTCTCCATCCCCCTTTCTCCGTCTCCTTGACGGCACCGTCTCCTTCGTCCCAGTCCTCTGGTATTAGAGTTTCTGCAAGCTGAGCTGTGTGTGACGTCCTCCTTCTCTTTTTTAATGTACTGCTTTCCAGCAAGCTCCCCTCCATTTGCGTGGCAGCAGATACCATCCATGAGCCGGTGCCTCCCACAGTTGTGTCTTTAGCCCAGATATTTCCTCTGAGCCCAGACTTGTACCTGCCTGTCTGGCTGCCATGTCCGCGTGTCTCACGTGACCCACGTGGATTTCTCAGTTCCCCCACCCTTCTGCTCATTTCCCATCTCGGTAAATAGTTTATGCCTTGGAGAGTCTGGGACGTGCTGGCTTTTACTCACCCCACAGCCTAACTCATGAGCACGTTCTGCCAGTTCTTGCTCCCGAGTCCGCCTCACATCCTTCCCATCTCTCTGTTCTGCAGCCTCCGTGCCTATTCATGTTGCCATCAGCTTTTCGCTGGATTGCTGTCCAGCTTGCTGCCGGAGGAGTGATATGCCTCCATGTTTTTTTTTTACCTACTATGTGATTCAAAGACTTTTAATACTTCCTCTGACCAACACTCGGATACTAAAATATACCCATAAAGACATAAAATTATAAAGCTACCTGTAACCTAGCAGCACATGTGCTTTGGTCCCAGAGGCCCTGTTATTTTTCTGGAAGCTTTTGGCCCCCACTAGTAGAACCACGCACATTGAGGTTGTGTGGGTGGAGTGCTCTGTGGGGGAGGAAGGCCTTTGAGGCACTCTTTCCTGGCACTTTTCCCTCTTTTTAGAACCCATCTTTGTGATCTTGCCTTCGGTCACCTCTTGTTGGGTTCTGTTGACGCAGAGGTCCCTCCAGGAAGCCAACCTCCAGCTCATTCTTCACCCCTCCCCCTCCCCACCACGTGGTTTTCTAGTCTGACTTCCTAGTCAGGGTCTCTGACAGGGTGGAATTGTCAGTGGAATTGAATAATTAATCCCAACCGGAAAATAGCATGTTTGAATTTTAGTTAAACATTAATGTTTAATATTACCTTTCTTCCTGCTTGAAGAAATCCTTCCTATCTGTGACCAAAGTGGACACTGGCTTTAGTGGACACTGGTTTTCTCACTTGGGCTCTCTAGGAGAGGTCGACTGAGTGGTCCCACAGCTGAGGAGTGGGTAGCAGGCTAAGCACCCACTGGGACTGCAAGGTTCTCACAGGGGGGATCAGTGGTTAGCCCCAGATTAGCCCTTCGTAGAAATTTGGGTTTTTTATTTGTTTGTTTGTTTGTCTTTTTAAGACAGAGTGTCACTATGCAGGCTGGCCTTGAGCTCACTTTGTAACCCAGGCTGGACTCAAAACTCGCAATGATCCTCCTGCCTCAGCCTCCTGAGGGCTGGGATTATAGGCATGTGCCACTGCACCTAGCTTTCTTCATAGAAATATGAAAGTAAAAAGCTCGGTTTCCTTCCAGCCTAGCTTTATTTAAGAATGAAGGCAAGGACAGCACCTACTTCGTAGGGTGCCTCTGGAAACTGAGTGGGGAAATGAAGGCTAGTGTTTAACCCCTGATGCACAGTAAGTACTAAATAAGTGTCTCTACTTATTTAAAAAGTGATATTACGTGCTTAGCAAGTGCCTGGCTCATACACAACAAGATTTAGCAAGCGGGCTGGCTGAGAACTAATAAAAATCACCTGACTAACATAGCAACAAATGAGGTGATTGTACAGGGGACAGTTTAGGTTCAGACACATTGGTTAAAAGGATAGCTGTAGGGCTGGGGATTTAGCTCAGCGGCAAAAAGCGCCTGCCTGGCAAGCGCAAAGTCGTGAGTTCGGTTCCTGGTACCAGAGAAAAAAACAAAACAAAAAACAAAACAACAAAAAAAATAGGATAGCTGTGAGTTTGCTTTTTCTTCCTTTCTTTTTTTTCCTCTCTCTGGGTTGGTTTGAAATCTTGTCATTCAAACAGAATTGGGGGTTTTCCAGGACTAAAAGTACCACTGGGATGAAGGCCTGATGGCCTTGGCTGGCACTGCTCATGAGGCCCTACCAAGGCTGTCAGAGAAAGGCCAACAAGAAGGTCCCCCGCAGGGGGATGTGCTATGTACGTGTACCAATCCCCACTAAGTTAATATAATCTTTATCTATTGTAAACATCTAGAAAAGTTTTTTAAAACTAAAAGGAAAGCCAGGCATGGTGGCACACTCCTGTAACCCCAGCACTTGGAAGGCTGAGGCAGGAGGATCGCTGTGAGTTTGAGGCCAGCCTGGGCTATAAAGTGAGTTCAAGGCCAGCCTGTACTATATAGCAAGACCCTGCCTCAAAAAGTACAAAAAATTTTTTTTAAAAACGTAATGTCCCCCACCCTCACATAGCCAGTGGAGGGCTGCAGTTTCATAAAACTGTTCCAGGCCCTCAGCAGAGCAGAATTTTCCTACAGCGAGGCTGATGGCCAAGCTGGGTCATACAAGTTACCAGCACTAAAGCTCATCACGTCTCGGCCTGCACTGAGGAGAGTGCTGAAGCAGTAGACTAAAATGCTAGCGCCTTTTAGATCAGGACAAACCTGGTCAGCGGAGCAGCTCAATGTCCATATAAGGAGCAGCAGAAAGTGGTGGCTCAGAGCACTGCACTTGAGTCAGGCTATCGTGGTTTAAATCCCAGCCTTTTCCCTTAGTAGCTATGTGACCTTGGGCAAGTTACTAGAGCTCTCTTGCTAGAGTTTCTTCATTGGTAAAATGAGAATCAGAATCACGGTACCCTTCACATAACGCCCTGTCTCACAGGAAGTGCTCAGTATATGTTAGTTGCCATCATCAGCAACCAGCTATATGGCTTCAGATAAATTAAGAAGCTTCTCTAGCCAGGTGTGGTGGCACACGCCTGTAATCCCAGCACTCGGGAGGCTGAGGCAGGAGGATCATTGAGAGTTCGAGGCCAGCCTGGGCTACAAAGTAAATTCAAGGCCAGCCTGAACTGCGTAGTGAGACCCTGTCTCAAAAAACAAAACAAAACAAACAAAAAAACAAAACAAACAAAAAAGCTTCTCTAAGCCTTGGTTTTCTTGCCTGGACCATGCATACCATAGATTGCAGGACAGTGGCAAAGGTATGTGACGGAGACTGGCAAGGATTGGTGCCGGGACCACGGCAGCTTCTGCCATGATGGATGGAATCAAGAGTAGCTGTGTCCTCCATGCAGTGGGCACACCTGGGGTGCTGGAGGCACAGTTGGGTCTCAGACTTGAAGACTCCAGGCAAGGCAAGGAGACCTGCTTGTGAGTCCTTCCCCATCCAGCACCTCTGCCCTTCTAGCCCACCAGAAGGTAATTCCAGCCGTGCTGGGGAACTAGAAGCCAGCCAGAGGCACACGCCAGACAGAGGTGGGAGGGACGGAAGAGTCAGCGCAAGAGTTAGGTGCGGAGCTTTGGGGCAGGGACAAGAGGCATGAGGGAGAGGATTCTGAGGTTCCTTTTCTACTGTGGGGATCAGGGAGGCACTTTGGGGAATGCTGCTAGGCCGATGGAAAGGTACAGTTGTGTGAAAATCTACGGGGCATGTAAGAAGCTGGGGACATGCTCTGTGACCGCTCCCAAGCCTCTCAGCAGGGCCATGTGAACACATACCCGCTGAGACCATCAGAATTTGATTCAGTCACTCATCTTCTTGGGTTGACAAGTTGCTGCAGGCCGGGGCCACACCTACCCTGGATCTGGAAGTGTCCGTGTGCTTGTGCACGCCTCCCAGGAAGGAGCTGTGGCCACCTCCCAAGCAATAGGAGTGCACACTGCGCCTCCGCCACCCTTCCTGCTCCACCCCACAGGGCCCGACTGCCACTCTGTCCTTTCTGCATTTATCCTGCACAGTTTCATGCTTTGTCACAGCTCTTACGCTGCTTCCTGTGTTTTTGCTGGCTTGGCCAAGTCCCTTTGAAGCTTTCCGAGCACAGAAAATCTACCCCTCTCTTGCTCCCATTGTGTTCCTAGTAAAGAGGCAATGCGGTCTAATACCCAGAAATTTCTTTCTGGCCAAAGACAAATTGAAACAGTTTTTTCCTCACACAGTTCTGGCATCATTCTCTTATCCCTTAAGTCAAAGATTAGGGTCTTCTCAGGCTCAGATGACACCCACGGGGGTAAATAACCACCCAACTGTATCACTGGCAGCTTGGGAGCTAGAGAGAAAGGAAAAGGGATTTAGAAATAGGAGGAGAATGAAGAAAGCAGGAAATGAGGAAAGAAGATATGAGATGTGTAGGTAAAAGTCCATACAGCCCCTGGAGACAGCCTCAGAGGCATGCTGCAGAGGTCATACCTCCTGCTTGTGTGTATGGGATTCAATTACAGTCAGGATTCAAGAACAGTCATTGCTGACCCATTTTTCTCTTGGATCATCTCTGCGCCGCCTACACAGAGCTATCCTGACTCATGGCTGTGTGTTTACCACCAGGAAACGCCCGGAGGTTGTGACGGTGACTGGATGGCAGGCGCCAGTTGTATGGGAAGACACTTATGACGCAGCCGTGCTGGAAAGATACTATGCCAGACGTAGAATCACTGTGGGCTTGACGGTTTTTGCTACTGGAAGGTAGGTGTCCGCTGACAAAATCGTCTTTGATTTTTCATGTTCTACTATCAAAACAGTTGTGAGGGGACCGTTGCCTTCATCGAGATTACTTATGACTCACCTGAATTATTCTATAGGAAAATGATTAGGCAGGACCATTTCAGTCTCCTTTCCACTGAGGCACCCAAAAGCTGAGAACAAAACAAAAATAGAGGAGTTCTTCTGTTACTACTTCAAAGGGTCGGGTATTGGATTCCAGTCGCCACCAAACCTATAGTCGACAGCAGTACGAACCCCGTCCTCCCTGACTTCCATGGCTTCCTTTGGGAACTCCCAAAGTAGCAGCTGGAGACTGCCCATATGTGCATCATTCTTCTCCTACACTCTAAAGGCCCAGGACCAAAGACAGAGGGATTTACAGCCAGTTCTAGGTACAGAATGGTTTTCCTTGTTGGAGCATGGCTGACCACTCTTCCCCGGCTTTCTTGCATCACCTCCATCCAACCCTTCTGGAGGATTTGGCCCTGGGAGATGAGTCTGGTCAGAACCTCCTCTCTCAGAGGTGGGGTAGGTTCCAATTCCAGTTTCCATTCCCCGGTTCAGAGCATTTGATACAGAAAAAATTGCAGTAAATCTCACTTGAAAGTTGAAGCTTTAATACTAGTTTTAAAATATAACCTATTTTTGCTTTCTTGGAGAATAAAAAAAAATCTCTTTTCCAAGTTAAAATGGAAAAAACGCAATTTTCCTATGTTTTTCTGCCCTTTGGGCCTTTCCGTCTGTACTTTTTCTGAAAAAGCTGCATGGAAAGTTGATTCCACCGTTTTACAGTGAGTTGAAGGCTCAGGCTGATCTGAGCTTAAGCCTGACATAGGTGGAGTCTGAAAGAGATCTTTGAAAATCTGGTAGCTTTCCAACAGCAGTTTCCCCAGCCTCTGTCCTTAACAATAGGAATCAAGTTCTGATGTCGCTGGCTGTGCTTCAGGACCTCACATGTCTCTAACAGGGGAAGGGTGACTGTGGAATTTTGATTATTTTTTACTAGAGAAATCTAAAGGCAGCCCCCTTGCATCTCGCTTTAATCCTGGCGTTTCTGCAAAGAACAGAGTATGGCCCACTGCCCCACAAAGACTTCCGCCATCCAGTTGCCACTCTGCAAAACAGAACTATAAATTGCACATCCTGGCGACAGCGCTATATACTTGGCTCTGTGGCAAGAAAGGACGGCTTTGTACTCAGCAGCAATACATTCCCACAGTAAGTGGATTTGGACCTTTAAGAGGTGTGATGTTTGGTTTGTTTTCCAATAACAATGTACAAAGCCAACGGCAGTGCTTTAATCTCTAAACCATGTTAAATCTCAGTGACTACCCCTCCCCCTAGCTCAACCCAATATTGTTTCCCATGCTTCAGGCAAAGTCAATTTTTCTTAAAGTTCCAGGATATAGAAGAATGCCCTGGCCACCAGCCACAGAACCATGTTAAAGTCCCTCTTTGTATTGCTCAGATATGTTCTCTTCATTTAAAAGAATCAATACTGTAAACCCTTGGGTCTTTAGATGCCAACAATAAAAGTACAGCTTATTTTGATGGCAAACACAGGAAATCACACAGCAAGAGAAAGCAAAAAAAGTGCCAGGCACAATTACTTCCAAAACATTGTGTTTGGCGGGTATTGTGATCAGAAAGTTACATCTGGTGGTTCATTCTAACTTTTTGCTATGATCTTCATACCATGGCTCCATAAGACAGTCTGTAGCCTGAATGCCCGGATGACATCAATAGAATGTTGTCTGAATGAATAGATAAACTGTTAAAATACCACTATGTGCCTATTAGACTGGCCAAAATAAAAAACACTGACCATACCGAATATTGACAAGAATGAAGAGAAACAGAAACCCTCATTTACTGCTTGTGGGAATGTAGGAAGGATAGTATAGCCATTTTGGAAGAAAGTTTGACAGTTTCTTACAAAACTAAACATTTTTTAGTTATACAATCTAGCAGTCACACTCTTTGGTATTTACTCAAATAAGGGCTGGGGATTTAGCTCAGTGGCACAGCGCCTGCCTGGCAAGCACAAGGTCGTGAGTTCGATTCCTGGTACCGGAAAACAAAACAAAACAAAAAAACACACAAAAAAACCAAATAAGATGAAAACATGTCCACACAAATACCTGTATACAGATATTTTTAGAAGTCATGTAGATAGATAGATACATAGATACTTAGATAGATTTCCAGAACTTGTAAGCAGCCAAGTTGTCCTTAGATAAGTGAATGGGAAAATAAACTGCTATATACAGATGATAGGATATTATTAAATGCTTTAAAAAGTGAACTATCATGCCATGAAAAGACATGGGGCAATCTGAATTGCATGTTACTCAGTGAAGGAAGCCAATCTGAAATGGCTATGTACTATATGCTTCTAACTGTGACAATTTGCTAAAGGCAAAACTACAGAAACAGTAAAAAAAGTCCCTAGCTGTGGGCACTGGGGGATAAGAGGATCTTTAGGGTGGTAAAACTGTTGTGAATGGTACTTTAATGGTAGACACATATCACTGAACATTTACCAAAACCCATGAAATGCACAGCACCACAAGTGTACCCTGATGTAAGTGATGGACTGGACATTAGGTGATAGCGCCTTATCAACGTGTGTTTGTTGATTGTAACGAAACTAATATGTGCAGGGAGTTGGTGGTAGGGAAGGCTGTATGGATATGCCGTCAGGCAGTATATGAGAACTTTCACCTCAGTTTTGCTGCTAACTGAAAACTGCCCTAAGAAATAAAGTCTTTTTTTATTTTTTAAAGACAAAATAATAGTTCAAACAAACTGAAATCAGAAGTTGTTTGCTCTGGTATTTGGATGGATTTTATATGGATGGTGTCTGGGTGAGGGACTGGCATTATAGGTGACCAGTGGGAGACTCACAGGATGACTATGCAATGTGAAAAGAGACCTAGGCCCACCCATACCCTGTTCCTTGTGTCAGAGAAGCATGCTGAGGGATGGGCTTAAAAAACACAGAGGCAGATAAAGAGAGGGGGACACGGGAGATTATGAACTCCCAGTGGACACAAGGGTCACACTGCCTTTTCATCTGAATCTGGCTGTGGCCACATTGTGGTATAAGTTAAAGTTTTTAAGAGAGGCTCAAGAGCTAGCACCCCTTCTGATTGCCCAAAGCCTGAATCATTTGGTAAACTAGAGAAAGGGATAAGGAAAGCAGTTGATGGTAAATATCACCTTCCTCACAATTCAAGCTGGTACTGGGAAATGTAGCTTGTATCAGCAGGCCCTAGATTTCCTAAGTATTGAACCACGGAAAGACTTAGGGACCCTGGCATCTATAGCATTGGAAACTAGAGGCCTCTGAATGTAGGAATAGAGCGTGTACCTCTAAGCTTACTGCAAGGCAGAGCGATTGAAAATACAAGCTTTCTCACTGGCCATCTTCCAAAAGCAAGGGAACAGGGCTGTGCATGCCCAGCTGCTCTTCCGAAATTGGCAGTCAGAGAAGTCATTCCACTTTCCCAAGGACTGAGTGACTGAGTGGTGGAGAGGAGCAGGAGTGTTACACTAACAGATGTCCTGCCACAGGAAAGCACACATCTGGGATGGGAAGAAATGGCTTCCCTCTTAAATGTATAATACAGTTTGATTATAGCGGTGCATGGTCTCCGGTGAGAATCCAGAGGTTCAGTGTATTCCTTTCTGCTTTGTTTCAGATACATTGATCATTACTTGGAGGAGTTCATAATATCTGCTAACAAGTACTTCATGGCTGGTCACAAGGTCATATTTTACATCATGGTGGATGATGTCTCCAGGATGCCTTTGATAGAGCTGGGTCCCCGGCGTTCCTTCAAAGTGTTTGAGATCAAGCCTGAGAAGAGGTGGCAGGACATCAGCATGATGCGCATGAAGACGATCGCGGAGCACATTTTGGCCCACATCCAGCATGAGGTCGACTTCCTCTTCTGCATGGATGTGGACCAGGTCTTCCAAGACAATTTTGGTGTGGAGACTCTGGGCCAGCTGGTGGCTCAGCTACAGGCCTGGTGGTACAAGGCAGACCCCAAGGAGTTTACCTATGAGAGGCGGGAAGAGTCAGCAGCGTACATTCCCTTTGGACAGGGGGATTTTTATTACCATGCAGCCATTTTTGGAGGAACACCAAGTCAAGTTCTCAACCTCACCCAGGCATGCTTTAAAGGAATCCTCCAAGACAAGAAAAATAACATAGAAGCTACGTGGCATGATGAAAGCCATCTGAACAAGTATTTCCTTCTCAACAAACCCACTAAAATCTTATCCCCAGAATACTGCTGGGATTATCACATAGGTCTGCCTGCCGATATTAGAAATGTCAAACTATCTTGGCAGACAAAAGAATACAATTTGGTGAGGAATAATGTCTGACTTCAAATTGTGCCAGTAGGTTTTCTGAACTGGAGACAGTATTATTCTGGCTAACTCCTCAGAAAAGTAATTTTAGCTTTTAAAAAATACTAACAAATTATCAACCTGGCAGTATGTACTATCCCTCCTTGTAACTTTGAGCCTTGAATTACGGGAGAGTGCATCTATGGCAATCAGATATAAGTTCCCGGCATTGTCTTCTGTACTCTGGGTTTAGAGGAAATACTGTTAGCTGAACCAAAAAGAATTTGCCACAGGCAAAGAAAAAGCCAGAACATTCTGCACGTCAGATAACACATTGCATAACAGGGTGCTAAAGGAAATGTTTAGTAACAGGATGCTGCAGTGAGAGGCACGGTCCCCTTGATTCAGTGTCTTTCTGGTTTTGATGGGTCTAAAGCGATGAGTTAATGAGTTGTTGTACAGCAGGAAAACTACCAGCAGGATGCCTTCTCCTTTGGAAATCCTCAAAGGCCTCCAAGCTGATTGCCTCAGGCTATTTGTAGTTCGTTTCCTCCCCTCGGCTGGATATTGTTTGGCTTCTGGGCGAAAGATCCGGTGGAGATTCCCAGTGGATGTCCTGGTGGTGCGCATTCAGAGACCCAGGGAATCTGAGCAGGCCAGTGGGTGCTCTGCTTGACGTGAAAACAAATTAGTGCTGGGATGAAACAGCAAAGTGAGTGGAAAGAGGGCCTGACCACTGTAGGGGACACAGGACACAGAGTGTTGGTGCTTAAATTATACTGTGGTCACAGGAGCTGAAAGGGACACAGTGTGGGAGGTCTCCAGCCTCCTTGACTCCATGACTAACAGCAGGACCTGGCTGGGAGGAGCCCACAGACTAGTGCGTCTTCACCTTCGAGACAAGTGGGTGATGTCAGAGACAGGGAAGGGTCAGAGGGGATTGAACAGGCCTGCCAAGACGGACCTGGGCTTTGCATTAGCTGGTCCCACCGAACGTTCTAGACCTCAGGCTCCTTCAGCCCATCATGTCCCAACCTGGAGGGCTGACATCAAGAAGGGGACTGAAGAAAAAGCCCTCCTGGCACATAACCTCTGGTTTCCCCCTGCTCCATCTGCACTATGGACTTTGGTGTGTTTGACAACGTGATTATGAATTTTATAACAAAGGTATGAGTGGATGGCAACGGGAGACCCAGTCATCGTGAGTGAACAGCTGAACTCTCAGTTCCCTTCTCTAAGAGAAGCGGTGACGTGGATTATAATTAAACAAATCAATGTAGAGGAAGTTCGAAGGCAATATTTACACATGCGTATATATTTATATTTTGCTTGTGTTCCAGTTTAAGTCATTTGCTGCCATTTTTAAGCAATTTATTTAAAGAGACTGGTCTGGTTTGATGGGCAGCACAAAGGGCTTCTTGGGTAAAACGAAACCTACATTTCCTCCATCGTCTTGCAGTACCTCCTGTTCTTCAGCGGGGGGCCCCATCGCCACCAAAAAAAGCCCCACGTAGCCAAAAAAACAAAAATTCTGACATCAGTTAAGATTCACGCTTCTTTATTAAAGGTGTGTTGGACCCAGACTAGAGTAGGGGTAGTTTAAAAGTTCAAGCCCTGAACCAAAGAAATGACCTATCCTGAAAGCTTGGAGATAGGGGCTGAAATAATTTTGAAGGAATTTCTTGATTTTTTAAAAAAAAGTCATTTAAATTTAAATCCTCAATGGATCAATTCAAGATTTTGTTTAATAACAGTTTTTAAATAAAATTTCTGATTTACAATCAAACGAATTATTTTCTCAGTGTGTTCTGGTCTGGTCGTGGATTATGCACTTTCAGAATGTCATTTATAGAATTTCCAGTTCTTAGACAATTTCTGGTTTCATGACCTTCTGAAAATTTGTGTCCTGTTACAAGGACAGTACTACAAAGAATGGGCTTGAGGTTCACTCCTAAACTTTTAAAGAAAGAAATGGCTATACTGAGCTTTCCAAAGCGATGCCCTGAAATAATTAACAGCAGAGAAGGAACCGTCAGGAACAACCTTGCCCCTGAAGCCCAAAGTGGGGCATCAGAGCAGGGGGAAAATATCTAGGTATATTAGTCCTGACCTCTGGGGAGTACACAAGTGTATGACCCCAGGGAAAGACTGGCTGGCTTTCCAGCAAGTCTGTGTGGGTGTATTTATAATATAAAACTTAAAGGTCATGGGACTGTGCAGTAAGATGCACTGAATAAACAACAGAACGCATCTGCCTCACTATAGAGAAATAGTTTTATAAGTGAAGAAACTGAGGTGCAGAAAAGCTAAACCCCCCCATTGGCAAGTGGCTGAGCTAAGGCTTAAACTAAGAACCTCACAAGGGTAAACGTGCTGGCACAGAACATATGCGGGGACACACTGCATACCAGGGGAAATGCGATTTGTAGAGGAATCTTTTAAGGGAGAATTTTTGCCGTAAGAAGTACTGTTTTAAAATTAAAATTTAATTTTAAGTGTCTTTCCAGGCCTGTACCATCTTCCATTTTAATGCAACCAACCTATTTCAAATTCATTAAATACATCTAAATGTATCATGTTTTGTTTTTAAAAAAAGGTCTGTGTGCATGCAGGTCTAATGTCAACAGAGCGGGCCCTCACTGAGCTGATGCACTGTGGCAGTGGCTTGGAAGGTGCGACCGGGCAAGGGGACAGGTGCCCAGGATAGCCTGCCTGCCTCCCTTCCACATGCAGCTGCAAGAGAAAAAGTCTGTTCAAGGCCTGAGGGGCTTCTCTTTGACCTTCTTAGAGTAAGATGTCATTAGTCTCCTCGTCAAAGTGGCCACCATGTGGGAACCTTGGCCCTGGTGTTTATTAAGTGTACTGTTCATTAAATGTGCTGTACATAAGTGAATAACATAGATGTGGCAGCCTGCTTACAAGCGGGAGGACTCATACAGTGAATGTAACACACATCACATACCTCTTAATAGGGACGAGTGGGGATCTCTTAGACAAATCTCACATCTGAAAGGGTACAAAGGGTGGATTCAAGTCCAGGACTGTCTGACTAAATCCTATGCCTCTTTGGACACAATTTCAAGCTGTCTTCTGTAGCCTGCCTTACACAAGTTTACCAGTCTTGTTTCTGAAATTTGGGAACACCCAAGAAATTACCAAGGAAAGCTCTCAATTTCTTGGTTAGGCATTAAAAGGAAAGAATGTTGAGATGTTGATCTACAGCTGGAGAAACAGGACTGTGGAACCTGAGCAGGTATGAGGTACAGGTAAACACAGGGCTAGGGCGAAGAAAGAAGGGAAAAGAGGGAGGGAGGGAGAGAAGGAAGGAAGCACTTGAGAGGCTGAGGCAGAAGGATCACTGAGTTTGAGGCCAAACTGGACTACCTGGTCTCAAAAAAAACAAAACAAAGTCATTTCGAGGAAGCAGTGTGAAAAATACTTAGCTGGCTGTGTTCTGGGAATAGTCTCTCAATTGACAGTAGGACCCTCTAGCTTGCCTCGAACACCCCATTAAAATTCAGAGCTAAAACAAAATTAAAAAGTAGCTCCCTACATGAACACTAGGGTGCAGGAATTTCTATGAATGACTCCGCCATCTGAAGCAACTGTGGTGCTTTAAAAATATTCTCTTCTGGAGCTGGTCATGATTGCACATTTGTAGAAATAGATGTTAATTCTGCACACAAATGAAAGTGGATACAAGTATCTAAAGAACATGGCTGTGAAAAGCCAGCCAAAGTTAGAACACACTACTAGTGAATTGGCGGCAACTATCTATAGAGTAGAAGGTGATTAAAGGTTCTGATCAAAGATATTGTGGTTGCAAGGAACAGAAACACCCTTGATGTGTCTAAACCTGAAAAGGAGCTCATTGGCGGCCACTGTAAAGTTCCCCTGCAGGCAGAAGGTGTGGACAAGCAGGCAGCAGTGCGCTAAGCAGCTCATACATGCTTGTGGGAGCCAATTATACACAGTATTTCTCAACTGCATGTTCAGTAACATCATAGTGGGATCTTGAAATAGGCATGCTGAGAGTATTTACACCAAGGAGATCAGAAAACACTAGAACTCAGAGCCTCCTTTTCTCCCTTTCCCTTCCCTTCCTTTTTTTCCCCCTCATTTTTTTTATTTTTAGACTCAGTTACTAAAAATTTACAAGCACATCACTGTAACCAGGCCATGAGCAAGAACCAGGGAAATTCAGGGGCCTCAACAGCTGAAAATTGTGAACACTCCCTCCCAGAGCTCTCCCATAAATGTGACCCATCTCCAATTATTTCCAGTCTCAGGGTTTCTTCTTTCCAAGCTGAATTCCAAGTGGTGCACAACTTTAATTTCATCACTCAGAAGATGCAGGCAGAGGGACTGTGAGTTTGAGGACAGCCTGGGCTACATAGCAAGACCCTGTCTCAAAAAACAAAACCCTAGGTTCCTAAGAAAGAAAACCCAAATGACATGGCCTCCACACTGCTCCCAGCAGCTGTGCCATTGGAGCATGGCCACACTATGAGACAGTTCTCAGAACAGGATTTATGGCTGTGAGCAAGGTGGGGGGTACCTTCAAAAAGTACCTCCCACTTTGCACTTAGCTACCAGTCCTGGCTATAAACCACTTCTTCCTGCACATCCAAAATACTCCCTCCCACCATGATCTGAAAATGCTATTCGGTATTCCAGCACAGCCCTCTCCTAATAGCAGGTCACTGAATCCACAGATAGTATTAGGGACCAGGCTTCTTAAGAGTCTCCAAGTAATAATTACTTCTTTGAGTCCCTTCATCTGGTTGGCTGTTCTATCATTTGAAATACATGATAAATTTAGTTCATACCAACATATACTATAGCCAATAATAGGAGAGGCAGGATGAAAGTGGGGGGAAAGTTTATAACAACTCTTGTTTAAAAGAGGGAGATGGTAGCTGGGCATGGTGCTGCATGACTATAATCCAAGCTACTTGCAAAACTGAGACAGGAGGATGGCAAGCTTAAGGCCAGTCTGGGCACCATAATGAGACCATGTTTTTAAGGGGGTTGGTGGTGGTAGAGTTAATAGTAGAGTGCTTGGCTAGCATGCACGAGGTCCTGCTTTTAACTCTGGTACCACAAAAACAAAAATAAAACAAAATGTGAAAATAATGGTTATCTGCTCACAAGAGGCTATAGTTTGTTCCCACCAACACTCATGTTAAGCCTTGGTCCCCAGCATAACATTGTGAAGAGTTACTGGAGACTTTAAGAATGATCACTGCTTTTCTCTTAGGAGTAAGTTCTCATTCTCATGGGCTGACTGGTTACTGCAAGTGTATAGACATAAAGCAAGCCCAGTGGTCCCTCCGCCTCCATCTCTGTCTCACACACATACTCTTCTACACAAACTCGCTTCACCTTTCCAATTTTTTGTCATGAGCTGAATTGTCATGAAGCCCTTACCAAAATCTAGACAGACGCTGGTGCCATATTCTTAGATTTCCAGTACTGGGAGTTAAATAAACCTCTTTTCTTTACAAAGTACTAGCCTCCAGTATTTTACTGTAGCAACACCACACTCACTAAGACAAGGGACACTTCCTTGCTCTGGAATTCAGTGGGTCTCTGCTATAAGCCTTCTTTCATCTACCACTCCAGTCTACCTCACATCCACTGGACTATGTAGTTTATAATTGGTCGTAAGAGTCTAGTGGCAAGGTAACTTGCCTACAGACTGGAACAGTGGGAGAAATTTGTCTTGTCCAGAGCTCCACAGAAGCTCCTTACTTGGCATCCACATGTGTGAGACACTAGCTCCAAAGTCCAAAGAAGCCTGATATAGTTTAAATATGAAGTGTCCCCCAAAGTCTCATGTATGAAGACTTGATCCCCGGTGCAGAGGATGGGGCCTACAGAGGTGATTGGATAGTGAGGGTCCTAACTTTGTCAATGGACTTGACGAGTTCATAGCTGAAGAGGCTATTAGGAGGTGGGGCCTAATTAAAGGAGGTCCTTGGGGGTATATTTTGTTTCTCTCTCTGTCTCTCTCTCTCTCTCTGTCTCTCTCTCTCTCACTTTCTCTCTCTCTGTCTCGCTCTCTTCCTCTCTGTCCTTCCTGGCTGCCATAAGGTGAGCAGCTTGCCTCTATCACACCCTTCCTCCATGACGTTTCTGCTTCCCTGAGGGCCCGTGGACTTATTGGGTTAATAATATCCCTTAGTTATTGAGAGCTGATCAGGTCGACAATTTCCCAAACAAGTGTATGATGAAGGCTAAATAAGAAGAGGCAAATGGAATGATTTCAGGGCTCCAAGAGGATAAAATCCCTCTTACAGAATTTGACATTTAGGGCTAAAACCATGACCTTCTCTGGGTGGCCTGTATTTATTTCGTTATCAGAAGAAGGGAGGGTTATACTCCAGAACAGCGGAATTAGTCAAGGACTTCTCCAAGTAAGGTATTAAATTAATCCTTAAAAAGGTTTAATTTAATCTACCCAGGAGTGAGATGCCTGAGGCTATAGTCTTTATCTAGTTGAGAGTGGATGCAGGTGTCCTTGGCTGTGATCTTGTCTTATCCTTTGAGGCTTTCTAGCTTCATCCACCATTACAAGTTCTAGCAGAGATTAGTGACTCACAGAGGTTCACTTACTATGAGTCCATTGCCCACTTCCAGACAAGCAGCCTAGGCTTTGGGCAGATTCATAAGTAAACATAAAAAGCCAATTGGTTAATTGAAGTTATGCAGATCTCCTGGATAGGAGGGAGTAATGGCTTAGTATAGCACAAGGAAACTTACTGGAATTATGAAGATGTTCTATATCTTAATAAAGGTGATTGTCATGAATTGTGTGCTTAAATTACCATGAAATGTGCATTTAAGTTACATGTTTTGTTTCATGTAAATTATACCTCAGTTAAGAATTTATCAAACAGCTTTAAAACTCCATCCCCCAAAACAAAAGAAATTTAAAAGATCTTTTATTTTATAAGAAGCAGGACACAATCTAGTCCCTTGGTAATGAAAACAACAGCTGCTGGAATATGAATTTTCCCGTCACAATTATCTAATTCTTTCATCATCAAAAAAGAATCTGATGACATCATCATTCACAGAAGACTGAAAAGCATACAAACTTGAGAGTAATGTGGAGCCAGTAATGGCATTTGATTCATGATCTTTCAAAGATTTCAAAATTGCCTGCTATCTCTGTATTCTCCACATCCTCTCAGACTACCATACATGTTAGAAATCTCCAGGGAAGAATCTGTATGAAATTCCTACACTAAAACAATAGGTAAGAAATTGTCCTTTATTTCAACCAAATAGGACCACATCTAGCCCCTTTTCTGCCTATGTTGGGTTGATTAAATAACACAAAGGAGCTTTGTAAACTTGATGGCTAAAAATCCAAAATCAGTGCCCAGATAACCTAAAAATCAAAGGTGAGTCTCCAGCCAATGCCTGAATCAACTTGCTATTCAAATCCTTTTGAGAAGGGCTGCACATTTCATGCTGCTGTCAGTCTCATCGCCTCCTGTTGGGATGAAACTTCAGAATACCATGTGACAAAAAATAATTAACAACTGCCTTCATAAGTATACAACTTTTTAGAGTCTCGGTAAGTATTTTCATAAATACCACCTCTCACTGACACACCCCACACAAGGGATTAAGCCAGCAAGTCACATTTTTTGCATTTACTTTCTGTAGATAAAGCCCTCTGTAATTTAGAAAAGGCAAATAAAGGCTATAGGACCTCCTGCAACAAGGCCAGCTAAGACTTTCTGCAGCTACCTCAAATAAAAGCAAATGTATCCACGGACTCAACTTTTTCTATAAAAATAGACATCCAAGGAGCAGTAGTATCTTCATGGCTAGACAATTCCTATTAAGTCATCCCATGTAAGTCTTGGAGGGTCAGGCGTTCCCACAGCTTACTTTGTATATACTGTGTTGTATTTTATCTTTTTTCATCTGTTTGTTTTTCCTCCTAGGAACAGTATGAGACACACAAAAGTAATTCTATTCTTATTGATTTTATTGTCTCTGTGGGCCTTGCATAGGAAGTATCATTTCAGGTAACTTTCAAAACCAACGAATGTTTTACTCTGATATTTGGTAAGGGTCTGGTACGTAAAAAGGTAATTCAAGGTAATTGGCTCACCCTTGAATAAACTGTCACCCAAGAATATATGCAAATGATATACAAATATGTCAGCATAAATATTGTCTTCAGCATCTAAATCCCTTGTTTTCAATGGGATCAAAGCTAAACACGATTTTTCTTTACATCCATATGTATAAGAAGCCCTTTAAAACTACCAGTTACTTAATCCCAGCTCTTAGGAGGCTGAGGCAGAAGGGTCACCATAAGTTCAAGGTCAACCTGGGCTACATAGTGAATTTAAGGCGGGCCTGAACTACACAGCAAGACCCTATCACAAAAAAACAAAAACTAAAACAACACAAAAACAAAATCTTACCAGCCACTGTGGCAGTGTATTGTTCATAAGTGTTAAAGAGAAATTGCCAGTTGGAAATAGGCAACATCTTATTTTCTTTATGAAAAAACCCTAAGGTTGGTGACTTCAAGTACTACATATTGTGTTTACCTACCACAAGTTTGAACAAGAAGAAAGACTTCATTGGCATCTAACAAGTTTGTTCTAATAATATTAAATAAACTTCTCACTTATGTTTATGTCTCAAAGCATATAGTTGCGGACGAGTTGCTCTTTTAAGAGACAGCATATGAGACCCTGAGTGTAATTACTTCTATCATGTTCATTATTGTATCTCTATAGCCAACAATGTACTGGGCACAGAGTATATTTGGTAGTAGTAGATAATACAGTTAACTGGGTTGATAGATTCTAGCTTTAGTCGTATTGTGTGTGGAACCACTTTGCATACATCAAAAAGTAACAATGCTTTTCATTTGTCCTAAGCACAAGGCATCTTCAGAAGATGTCACAATGCTGGTAAGTCTTTGCTTACAAATATGCTATGACCTCTTCTTTGAAGATAAAATCTTTTGGGAGTCCTTGGGGTACCTGTGACTCTGTGGTTCTTGTAGGCAGTAAAAAGCAGTGCAATTTACAAACTCATGTTGGAGATAACCAAGGTCAGATAACCAAGACAGAGCAGACTGATGGAGTGCTGTCTCTGAGAGTGCGATAGAAGCTTGTTGGGGGAAATGTATCACCAGGAGCCAGAACTCAGTCGCCAGTAACCTTGAGTCTTTGAAAGCTCTAGGCAAACACACAGAGTAGACTTTGCTAAATGACTGACCATGTGCCATCCCCAAGATCACACCATCAGAATGGACACAGTGAAAAATTCCTAAAGACTGCACGTGACCTAATTCTATAGGGACAGTTTTCTTCAGTGTCTTCCTATAGTCATGGGGACCCATATAGTAAAGGAGCACTTTTATTGTCTCTCTAATAATCCTATAATTACAATCTCACTACTCTGACCATGCTTAGATACCTGGTGATCTGTGCTGTGCATTAAAATAATCTAAGAAGGAAGAAAGGATGTTACCCCTATAGTTGGCCATTGCTAACAGGGACAGTAATTTCCAGCTACCTGAAAACAACAGAAAAACCTCTAGGCAAGGACGGAAACGTTCAAGGAAAGACTGTTGCAACAGAAGCCAAGGGAAAGAATAGATTAGAATATTTTCTGGCAAATGTATCTGATGCAATACATTCTAATAATAGTTTTATCTATTATTATAGTTAGCTCTCCTTAGCATCAGGATTTGGTAGTCTCTGAATACTAACATGAGTCATCAAAAGTCAGTGGCTCTTTGCATGGGTGTTTGAGTGGAATACAGTGTTTGGGTCATACCCATAACAGTGCAGTAGCTCTTGTCTGTGTATAGAGGAATAATGCCAGCCCCAGGAAATATGATAGTTTCACAGCTGCCTGATCACTTCATTAACTCCACCCAGGCCCAACTCTCCAGAGGTGGCCTGGCTCTATAATCTGTTAAAGTGTGTGGCAAAAAGGCAAAAGGAGGATCAGGCAAAACTGCATATCTCTCTTTCACTGGGTGACTCTGGGCAGGGTAACCAAGGCTCTTTGTTCCTCTGTTTTCTTAACTGGTAAAATAGAGGTGCTAAAATAATGATGGTACCTATCTCACATTGGTACTGTGTGGAATAAATTAGATAACCCTTAGGAAGGTGTTCACTAGATATTAGCTTTTAATTAAGACTCTAATCACATCCAGCCGCTCAGGCAATGCTTCCTGAGGGAGCGGTATTTAAAGCAAGATCTGAAAGCTGTGTGTGAAGTAGCTGGTGGAATTTGTGACCCATTTAAGGTAACTTAAAAAATATCTGGAGGCAGGAAAATTATAATGATATAAGGCCTGATAGGAGATGGGGCTGGAACAGAATAAAGGATAGGACATACTAAACATTATGGCCACCATAAGGACCATGGAATGCTGCTCAGGACAAGGAGAAGCTCCTGAAGCCCGTTATGGGAAACAATGACATGGTAAAACTGGAGCTCTAGTAACTGAGCAGAAGTATGGAAAATGAGTTGAAAAGGGATGACATGAGGACAAGCAGAAAATAGCACCCGGCTAATTCTGAGGGGCAGGAATAAGGACGTTCATTATATTATTCTTTTTCTAATTCTGTGTCTGTGAGATCTTCATCCCTTAAAGCATGCAGGCCAGGGGGGTAGCTCAGTGGTACAACACATAATGAGTGCACACAAGGACCAGGATTACATCCCAGGGACGCGCGCGCGTGCACACACACACACACACACACACACACACACAAAGCATGGAAACAGACCAGTAGGCAGGCTGTTACAATAACCCAGACAGGAAATATTGGTGATTTAAAGTCATGCAGTGACAGGAAATGGAAATAAGTGTTGGATTTGAGAGATGTCTGGGAAGTAAACCTTGTAGCATTTAAGGACAGATTTGATGTTGGGTCTTTGGGAGTGTTCTGCGTGTAGAATGACTTTCATGTGTCCACCTTGCCAATCCAGACAGATGTGTTAAAATAAAGAAACATATGAAGAGAAGGTACTTTGGGGGAGGGATGATGGCTTGACCATCAAACATCCTTGCTGTGCGGTGTCTGGGAAATTTAAATAGAGAACTTCAGAACACAGTTAAATGTTCCAGCCTTGAGTTTATGGGAGAGGTCTAAATTGTATGTAAAAAATCTGAAGCCACAGGAAAATGCCAGAGGAGAGTGCCAGAGGGGCTGGGCGAAACCTTCCTGAGAATAATTGTCAAATCCCAAATCAAGGCTCTTGAACAAATAAAATCTTTAGGGTTGACCTTAGACAGAAAGAGGGAATATTTTCATTGTGAAAGAAAGAAAACAGTTTAGGGCTGAAGGGAAAATTGCCAGTGAGATGACAGAAAGTGGAAGGAAATTTAATCTAATGGCTGCTATTTTCTCTGAGAATGAGATGAATAAGAACTTTAGCAACATAAAGATTTCTGGCAGCACAGAGTTATTGATGTTAGAAATCAATATTCTTCTTTGCCATTGTGGTAGGGCCCCGCCTGACCTGCTGGGGTGGGAACTTTTTACAAGTTCCTGTAGCAATATCAGCCTTTGGCATGTGTCATTCTGATGTAAATCTGTAACATCAGCCCTACGCAACCAGACTGTAGAATGTTAAAGTATAACCAATGAGACTGTAGCATACTAGTGTATGCGCATATAAGGGAGGCAGACACAAACATTGTATAAAAGGGTGTAAGTACAACAAGTTCTGCACTCAGCTTTTGGATACCAATCTGCTGAATCAGTGCCAGCTTAAATAAAGCTGCTTCCTGGGGAAAAAGGCTCGGTGTCCTGTCTCTGTACATGAAAATCCCACATCACTGTCACCATGAACATTCATCAGTGTTTTTCTTATTGCTTCACTCTTATTTTGCATCTTATTATAATATAGCTCATGATTTGATAAATATTCAAGCATTTCGACCTCTAGTGGATAGAGTATGACTCTTAGTATTGTTTTTCCATTTTCCTTTTAGGTTCCAGGCACGTCAAACAGAACTAAAGCTATCAGACTGGTTTCATCCCACGTAAGAATCTAACTTGTACACATGTGAGGTTAATCTGTGAAAGTTAATAGAGGCCAACAGTATTCACTACTGAGATTCGTAATGTTGGAGAGAAGGTGGATCTTTGATTGCAGTGCTTTTAAAAATAGGCTGTAGCTAAGACCCACTGAGGCTGGACATTTGGACCCATGCCCTTCATGGATGAGAGGTCCTAGAAAAGTGGTCAACACAAAGTGTGAGGGTGGATTTAGGATTGTTTGGTGGATTCTGCAGAATTCACCGAGGAAGCCAAGCCGAAGTGAAACCGTGGGCTGTCTGTGTACATCATACCTTAGTCCCACAGGTCTGCTTCCATCTTTTCAATCTACCCGCTTGTCTTTCACTCTAACACTGCAGGCATTAAGTAACTTCCCTAATTAAAACTTTGAAAGGAGACTTCCAGGTTTAAGATCAGGACTGGATAATGGCCCATGACTCATCCTGTTTTAACATTACCACATTTTTCACAGTTTCATCAGACACAGAAAGCACACCAATTATTTAGGCAGAGCATTTAAGATAATGAATGATTAACTACTGTAGAGCTGTTAACTGTGTAATGTGGAATGTGAAGGGGGACCTGTTGGGATGTAACAACGACAGGAACTATTTCTGTAGCTAAGACCCACTAGGGCTGGACATTTGGACCCATGCCTTTCGAGAATGAGAGTTTAGACACCCTCAAGGTCCTAGCAAAGTGGTCAGCACAAAGTGTGAGGCAGAAGGAAGAGGCTGGAATCATTAAACTTTAGACACTTAGAGAAGTGGCTCTGAGAGCCTAAACTTTGATGCTGCTGAGCAGGTGTCTTTGACCATTACGAAGACCTCTTAGAGCTTGGTCCCAGTGAGGAGAAGCACAAAGAGGCTGGTTTTGCAAGCGCCAGAAAATTTGAAGACTGGATTTAGCTTCTGCTTGGAAAAGAGTTGCAGTTTTTGGCTGAAGAAGCACTACTGGGATGAGACTTGCTGGAGCAGGAAGCAGACAAGTAGCCCACAGGAAAAAAGAAAGAGCGGTTTCTTCTTCCTCTAGCCTGAAGGCACCACCTGGTGAGGGAGACCAGGGCTTGCAGAGTTCTAGCTCCAGAAGAATAAAGCAGAGGACAGTGTTGTGGGCCCAGCTGTGAAAGACACTGCCTTGATAACTGGTCCCATTAATAGACAGGCAAGGTACAGCCTGGGAATTCTAGGTGATAATTCATCACATTAGTGGGACAAAGGAGAAAACTATGTAATCCTTTCAATCTATCCCAACTAGACTCTTAGCAAAACCCAATTCCCCTTACAGGTTTTCTTGCGTACCATCAACGCTGAACACCTTTTCATATAAACATTGGCCACCTGGATATTTACCTTTCTGAAGTGTCAGTTAAAATCAGTCTCTCTCTGACCTTGTCATTTTGCTTTTGTTTGTCATTAGTTCTCTGTATTTTAGATACAATCTTTTTACATAATACAAAGTTTATGTAATACAGAGATCACTATACCAATCATTTAAAACTATACAATTCGGTGAATCTCAGTGCATTCATATTACCACCATTATCTAATTCAAGACATCTTCTTCACACCCAAAAGAAACTTCGTTCTCATGGATCAGTGACTCCTCATGATCCAGTTGCTCCCAACCCCTGGCAAACACTGATTTGCTTTCTGTCTCTATGGATTTACTTATTCTGCACATTTCGTATAAATGAAATATAAAAATATGCCACTTTGTGTTTGACTTCTTTCAGTTAGCGGGTGTTTAAGGTTTCATCCATGCTATCACATGTATCAGTATTTCATTCCTTTTCATAGTTGAACAATATTCCACCATGTGAACATATCACATGTCTTTATCAAGAGATAGACACTAGGTTGTTTTCACTTTTTGGCTTTTACCATTAGTGCTGCCATAAATATTCATGTACAAGTTTTTATTTGAACACATCTTTAATTCTCTTGGATACATAAATGCAGTTACTGGTTTACACGGTGATTCTGCTGAATTTTTGAGAAACCACCAAATTGTTTTCCACAGCAGCTGCACCATTTTACATTCCTGCCAATAATGTATGACTGTTCCAATTTCTCCATAGCTTTGCCAATTTCTTTTTCTTTTCCTTCCCTTCCCTTCCCTTCCGTTCCCCTGCCTTCCCCTCCCCTCCCCTTCTTTCCCTTTTCTTCCCCTCCCTTCCCCTCCCCTGCCCTCCCCTCCCCTCCCCTCCCCTCCCTTCCCTTCTCTGATCTCCCCATGCAGGCCAGGATGGCCTCAAACTCATGACCCTCATGCATCTCCCTTCCAAGTACTAGGACTACAAGCATGCTGATATCTGTTATTCACTGGTGTTTGTGTTTCATTTTGATTGGTTGGTTGCTTTTTGTTTTGTAAGATAGGGCCTTCCTATGTTGACCAGGTTGGTCTTGAACTCCTGGGCTCAAGTGCTCCTCTGCCTCAGCTCCCAAATACCTAGGGCTACAGGTGCACGCTGCTGCATCTGATGCATTATGTTTTGTGTCATTGGCATCTTACTGTGTGAAATAATTTTCATTCACATTTCATTAATTATTGTTGAGCTTCTTTTCATGCACTTATTGGCTTTTTGTGTATAGACAGAAATGCCTGACCATTTTTTTAAAAATTCATTTATTCTTTGTCTTTTTGAGACAGGGTCTCACTATGCAGTTCAGGCTGGCCTTGAGCTCACTTTGTAGACCAGTTCAGGCTGGTCTTGAACTCACAATGATCCTCCTGCCTCAGCCTCCCAAGTGCTGGGATTACAGGCATGCGCCACCACACCCAGCCTTGCCCTGACCATTTTAAAACTGGGTTGTATTTTTTGTTGTAAAAAGACAATAGAGTTTAAAGTTGAGTTGTAAAAATTCTTTATATATTTGGATATAAACTCTTCTCAGATATGTGATTTGTAAATATTTTCTTCCATGTTATTGGCTATTTTTCTTTTGCTTTATAGTGTTATTTGATGAAAAAATTTTGGTTTTTGATGAAGTCCAATTTTATTTTGTTGTTGTTGCCTGGGTTTTTAGTGTCATATTTTAAAAACACTACCAAGTTCAAGAAATGTTTTCTTGTAATTTTTTTTTTTTAAACAGGGTTTCACTATGTGGTTCAGGCTGGCCTTGAATTTACTTTGTAGCCCAGGCTGGCCTCAAACTTGCAGCAATCCTCCTGCCTCAGCCTCCCAGGTACTGGGATTACAGGCATGAACCACCATGCCCAGCTCAAAATATGTTTTCATTTATATTCATCTCAATGTATTTCTTAATTTCCTGTCATTTCTTCTTCAACTTACTGGTTATTTAAGAGTATCTTTTCAAATTTCCTCATACTGCAAATTTTTAGATTTTTCTGTCACTTATCTCTAATTTTATTCCATCACTGATATCTTTTTAAGTTTATTGCGATTTGTGTTAGGGGATAACACACAGTCTAGCCTGTGCATTGTTCCATGTGTACATGAGAAGACTATGCCCTCTGTTGTTGCATAGAGCATTCTGTGTATGTAATTTTGTTTTTCTGCCTTCTCAAATCTTCTGCTGAAACACTATAATGAGTTTTTCATTTCAGTTTTCAGACTTCTTAGATCCAGAATTTCTATTTAGCTCCTTTTAATAATTTCTGTCTTTTTATTGATATTTTTCTATTTGTTGAGCTGTTTTCCTTGTTTTTTTCTAGTTCTTTGTCTACAGTTTTCTTTAGTTCTTTGAGTATAATTAAAATGGTTGACTTCAATCGATGGTGTGGGACATTCCTGTAATTCCAGATGGAGGCAAGAGGATCACAAGTGGGAGGCCAGCTGGGGAACTCAGCAGGACCTTGTCTCAGGACAGAATAAATAAAAGGGGCTGGAGATGTAACTCAGAGGTATAGCTCACTTGCCTAGCATGTGCAAAGGCCAGCGCCCTCTACCCCCCAAAGTTGATTTAAAGTCTTTGTCTAGTAAATATAATGTCTAGCCTTCTTGAGGATGGGGTCTGTTAGTTTTTCTTGTGAATGGCCATACTTTCTTGCTTCTGCTCCTACTTATAATTTTCTGTTAAAATAAGAACATGTTGAATGTTATAGTTTTTATCCTCTTTAGAGTTCTACAGATTGTGGCTTGTTTGTTTAGAACTTTCCTAAATAATTTTGAAAGATTGTATCTGTCCTTTTTTTTTTTTTTTTTTTTTTTTGGTTTCTTAAGATATCTGTTCCTTTAGCTTGTGGTCAGCTCGTGGTTGACAGAGATTTCATTCAATACCTGGTTAGGGGACAGATAGAGAAAGAGGAAGAAAAAGAGGAGGAAGAAGGAGGAAAGAAAGGAAAGAAAAGAGTGAGAGAGGGTGAGGGGAGTAAGAATGGAAAGAAAGAAGAAGGCAAAGCGGGGGAAGGGGAAAGGAAGGAAAGGGAGATGACCGGAGAGAGAACAGTCTCTCTGTCCGCAGGTTGGTTCTGTGCTTGGGACCCCCTCAGTGCTTAGCCCAGATGTTTACAGCTCTGCCTAAGCCCTCATTTCCAGCTCGCCCTGAGCCTCCATATCAGTGAAGGGTGAAAGCTTAGGGTCTTCTCAGGTCTTTTCTGAGTATGTATCCTGGGGGCTGGGGATTTAGCTCAGTGGCAAAAGCGCCTGCCTGGCAGGCGCAAGGTCGTGAGTTCGGTTCCCAGTACCGGAGAAAAACAAAACAAAACAAAAAGTGCTGAGTATGTATCCTGTCCCAGGTATGTGCATGGATTTCTAAATATCCTGTTATACACTGGAGACTGCTAAAGTCCTTAATTTTCAAAATAACTTTCTTCCTAGGTGTCCCTCCCAGGCTTTCAGCATCTCAAGTTTTTGCCCCAAGTATAATTACTGGCAGGGTGTCAGGATCTTGTTTCTTTTTAGAATATTCTCAAGGAGCACCCTCCCCTTAGCCGCCAGCGAGGTGAGACAAAGGAGGTGCTCTGTGTCGGTCCTAAAGGGAGCCCTCAGACAGGTTAGAGCACACATATGCAACTCCTTGGGAGTGGGCTCTGCCCTGCAGCCTCCAGAACAGGTACCCACACTGGGCACGTCGGGCTGCCGCCTTCAATACCGCTGCCACACTCTGGAGGAAGTTGGGGCAGCCTAAGGGAGAAGACCGCAAAGCTTTCCTGCTCCTACCTTTTCCTTGGTTGCTCTAAACCTATGACTGTTTTCTGTAGTTCTGGCCAAGTTCATATTGACAGCATGCAGCAATATTAGCACTGACAGCATATAAGCACCAGGAGATTTGCTTTTGTAAAAAAACATGGCTTTTGAAGATA